ATACCTTTATTTATTTTCAATGAATACTATAGTATATGTACATCTAGATATTCCCCTTGTATTCTTACATGATCTCCTTACATCTGTTCCATAATAAAAAAATAGTTTATGTACATATAGATGATCCCCTTGTCATTTATTTGATCCCCTCATATATGTTCCAGAATGAAAAAGAGTATATACATCTAAATGTCACCTGGTCATCTTACGTGATCCCCTTATTTCTGTTCAATGAAAACTATAGTATATGTACATCTAGATGATCCCTTGGTCTTTTTATTTGATCCCCTTACATCTGATATGTAATGAAAAAAAGTTTATGTACATCCAGATGATCTTGTAATCTTACGTGATCCCCTTATTTCTGTTCCATGAAAACTATAGTATATGTACATCTAGATAATCCCCTGGGCATCTTACGAGTTACCCTTATATCTGTTCCATAATAAAAATGTTTATATGTATTTCCCTCACATATGTTCTTTAAGAACTACAGTGTTTATACAGATGACCCTTCTTCATATATATTCCATCACTACTAATGTATATTTACATCTAGATGATTCCCTGCTCATCTTACATTAACCTCTCATGCATCTTCTATAAAAACTAGTATATGTTCATGCAGATGATCTCTCTTATAATGTGATTACTCATATATCTTTCATGAACATAAGTATACATTGTGTACAAGTGCATTCAGATGATCCTATAATAATCTTACTTGATATCCTAACATAGGTTCATCTGCTGATTAAATTATTAGGCATATGAATGAAAAACCATTATTCTACAGTTGTATGTCCTGAAGTTTAAAGCCTGTTTCCATTTTCTAGACATATGCATAAATTTATTAGGAGGATTAAGCATATGCACTTACATACAGTAACACTGATAATTTCCACTGATTTATAGTCTATTTTAATCATGATGATAACGCTTTATAAGAAATTCGTGCTTTATTTATAGGCGGGGCTAAATATGCAAAGTGTACTCTTACTCGGTCCCTTTTACCGTTTACCGCTGGGGTACTTTAAACAGAAATATACGCAAAATTAATTAAGAAATATACTTTGAAATAAATTGAAAATCGTATTTTTATGCTTTTCTTAGCCCGTTTTGAGTGAAAAGCGTTTAAACGTCTTTCATTTTGTGTCAATTATTTACAATTTGTATATTTATTCCGGAAAAACGAAGTGCGCTAATGATCTGAAATTTTGCACAAAGATTAGTGGTCTAAACCTACTTCAAATGGTCCATTTATCTGGACAAAAATATTTTCAGTCCCACCATGTCAAAAAACCTCAGTGGAGTCCCTTTAATGTTAATCAGGCGTTAGCAATATATAATAATTGTATGTTTATGATAGCGTGGCTTGTTTTTGTATGCTTATTATAAGAAATTGCGTGACTGGGGGTTTTCTGTGATGGAAATAAAACGAGCCTTTTGCAGATTTTGTAGTCATGACCATGATTCATTACATTTGATGACTAAGTTACAGGGTTATTAATTTTACCAACGAAAACCTGTTGGCTTTGTTAATGTAACAGGCCTGAAGTTCGGAGGTTTAGTCTCTCATTTTTTGAAACTTTTATATATTCAGTATTGTCTTTAATATTACGTCCCCTACATCGGACCATGGAAACGATGTGCGCCATCTTGGATTTTTAGCCATATTCATTTTATACTCTGATTTGCTCTCTAACTGGTCTTTACCTAAACATGCTTTGTGACAAATTTCAGGTTTTTCCCAACTTAAGAAGTTTCATTTCAGGGGGTCGAACGTATAGCGGTGCGATACTCCTTTAAGCGAGGTGATTTCATGCGATACGCCCTAATGGCAGATTTACTCGTGTAAACACACGTCAGAGTGAGTGTTTTTTATTAAGTATTTCATAAATCTTCGATTACAATTGCATATTTTGTATTGAGAATGTCAAGATAGGACCGACACACATTTCATCAAAATAAAAGAGGCCTAAATTCATAACGAAAAAAAGTTATTGAAGGTAAACTGACGGCAACTAATTTTGGGTCGGTGAATAAAATCGCTTAATGCAAGCTTATATTAATATAGTTAATTTCTTTTTCTTCTTTATTCTATAAGAGTAAGCATAATTGAGTTGCATAGCAAGTACCTTTGTGCTCCGATATACATAGACGCTTATTGGTCAAAATATTTTAAGTGTACGCTGGATTTTGGTGCGATAAAGATAAACTGTACGCTGTTAAAGGTTCGATATTTTTCATTAACACATCTGCTGTACATGTTTTCCTATTGATCTATACTAAGATATCTACCATATATTTGCCCGTTTCCGGAATTCTGAAATCTTCTTCTTTCCTTAAAGATTTACTTGAAATAAAAGTTTTGTATAACCATCTATATAAGTGTTTGAACTTAATTTAAATAATTAATAATAATTATCCTGTGAAAATTAGGAGTTGGAAAAAAGTAACCTTTACTCTAAGACCTTAGATAAAAAGTAGGAATTTGACCAAAATATGTAAGAATGAATTCTTGTATAATTTAACTCACTTTTAAAGCAGAACATTTCAGAAAAATAGCAGTTAATATGTGATATAAGGGCTGTTTTACTTCATGAGGTTCTAAGATCGTTTGCACATGTGCTGTCAAACTGATTTTTTTTCATATTATAAATAGAATTGAACATTTCAAACAACCTATAAAATACAGTGAAAGTACATTTCACTGCTGTTCTAGAGATAGAGACTGAGAACCAGGTGGTAAAATTCTTTTCTAAAATGTTGTTTAGAACAGGCTATTTTTGTAGTGCACATAATTGTGGCCTGTCAGGAAAAAACACAAAACTACAGTTTCAAAATTCAGTCAGTCATTGGACACCAAACAGCTCAGTGTCTTTCTTAGGAACAGCTGATTCTCACATGTGCAAATACACTGTTATAAATGTAGCAGAGCAATTAAAACATTACAAATTGATTAACAAACAAAACTACTGCCAGATAGGTAAAGTACCACAAGTACAAATGCTGACACATGTGCAAATAAACAAAAAGTTTTTGAGTATATAATATTAGATTGAGTCACACTGCTTATGGAGTAGTATATAAATAACACATGGGTTTGTGGGTTACAGTTAAACTATCATCCCAAGGAAAATACTGTTAGCCAAGATGTTAGCCGAGGGAAACAGTATTTTTAGGAGGGTTGATATTTTTACTGTTACCCACAAACGCTTGTGTTTTATTTATTTTATTTCCCGAACAGATACTGTAATCAATAATACTTTTATTTACATAAAAATCACTTGCCCAGATTTTATACTGTTAAAAAGTGCTGTTGGCCTGTAACAGTACAAATCTCTTGGTACACTTGCTTTAACAATAAGAGTAACTCCTAGTGGAAATGAATATTTACAAAAAAGTGAGGGGTAATGCTATACATTAAATGTTGCAGAGAAAGCCTAGTTTTAAAAGTAAAACTACTGGCAGATATGTTAAATCACTAAAAGTATGAATGCTTTCATAAGCAAATACACAAAGCTGTTTGGTATACACTGGTTATGGAGTAACATAATTATATATTCAAAGCGACAGAGCTAATGACAAACATCAGAATTACTGAAATATAATGATGTGCTCTGTATATAATATATAACATCCAATCCATAGAGGAAATCAAACCAGTATTATTATTTTTTTATAAATTTCAAGTTCCATTGCAAAAAAAATGGAAGAAACAAAACGAATATTATCGTGCCTATTGATTACTTGATAGAATTTCAAATTTCTGTGCATAACTTATCATCTCATTTTAATTATTAACCTTTGTGAGAAAAGAATATTTAAATTAACTATACCATAGTTTAATACACGAATGTACATTTATTGACACTTGTTTTAATTGACACTGTGGTTTTCATATGATTAACATACAAACTCAAAACTTGATATTTCATCAAAATTGAATAAGAATGTACTGTAATGAGGAAGTTGCTACAGAAAAACATACCAACATATGTGCGTACAGTTGGTTTATCGGACCAAATATTAGGCGTACAGTAAGAAAACTGGAAATATGTTATATACTTTCGGATAGATATGGAAAACTACTCTAGTATATCGTTTTGTTTTCAAAAATAAACATGTTGGGACTTAAACTAATCGAATATCTCGTTTTAAAACGACTGATACATTATTCGTTTGCATGTGCATATCAGGTTGACGGTTAAATTTGCAGCAACAAATACCTCAATAACTTCCTCAATTCTATAAAATTTCGTATTTTATTTTGACAATCATGCACAATTATAGTTTTGATCAGCATGCACAATGCTATTCTTCAAAAAATTACAATAGACAACAAATATTTGGAAAAAACATGCTCTCTTTCGTTTTCGCTCCCGTCCGCCATTAGGGCGTATCGCATGAATTCACCTCGCTTAAAGGAGTATCGCTCCGCTATACGTTCGACCCCCCTGCATTTGATATACTGACATTTATTTTAAACAAATTGGAAGCCATTAAGTGGTCATTTTAAATGGCCATTTCAATGGTCAAGATTAAGTTTATCAGTTTGGAATCCACCTTTATCATATTCACCATACCCTAAATAGGTAAAATTTACCAAGATAACACAAAATGCCCAAAGCATCTTATACAAGGCCATAATATCATTTAAGTCCTGTCTATATACATGTACAAAGTTCAATAGTAACTTCTGGCTCTAAGATTGAAACAATACTCCTTAGAACAACGTGTCTCCATGAAACAAATAAACATATATGACATGTTTGTATTCATACATGTAATATTGACAATATGTGAAAATTGAACTTATTGGAAATAAGCTTTTGCGTCTTGAAATGGTGGTCATTTATTTATTTTATTCAAATTCCATAAGTATATAGGTAGTGTACTAAAGCCGTTGTTACTATTCGAATTATATTTGTTTCTCCAATCATACAATTATTTGCGATTTTATGTATGTTTGAAGATTAAACTGTTCAGCTACTTACTTATCACTTTAACCATGACACATATTTCATCTTCAGTTTTGCTAAAAATCAAAAGAAAAAAAAAATATACGAATTGAAGCTTTAAATATGCAGTTATGACAAATTTTAAGTTTATGATCGTTTTTAATATGACCGACAAACAAATAAAATAAACATTAAAGTAATGACATTAAGTAGTAGCCATGACAATATTATTACGATAAAAACGAGTATGTTAGTCGGCCAAGGCTTATTATTATCTTGTACGGGATAAAGTTAACAGCCACCTTATATTAATGAGTAACCAACATATGAGGAAAACCAGTATTGTTTTCAAAAAATTAAACCGCGTGTGTGTTTGAAATTCAGAAATGTTACACGGTTTTATTTAACGGCAAAATACAGGCGAAAATGAAACCGTGACAATTTTGTAAAGGTTTTCGACTCCCACAAGTCACGAAAAGTCAATTTGTATATGTGCTATGAGATGATTAACTGGATGTGTGTCATTTCTTACCTGTTGAGAGTTGCCTGCAGACAGAATCTGAATTCCCCTGCCTCATTTGGAATAGACACAACCTTTCCTTGAAATACGGTAGAAGAACTTGTGAGAGGCATAAAGGAAGGTACCATCACATTCAGCCGTGGATCATGATATCCCAGAGATACACTTGGGCTTGGCATAAAAACACATAAGTAATATAAAAAATCTTTTATGCGATATCTTCAAAAAAGTGACCAATAAACAACATAGTTTTATTCAAAATTTGATTTGTTCAGTAACTATTAGAAATCATAAATATTGTTTACTTACGAAACTTTTTTCATGCAAAATATTAAAAAAGATACACTTATAGATAGCCAAAACATAGGAAAGCTTACGAATGTCCGTTCTTTGAAAACACTTGGAACGGTATATCACATGCCTCGTTGATTACGCATTTAACCTCGGACGGAACTGTTAAATCTCCGATGAAACTCTACAAAGATTTAATGATGGATGTTTTATTGTAATATTGTAAGCTGCCAATAATTATTTTAAAAAATAATATTATCAAAAGTCAAGTATGACAGATTAAGATTTTGGCTCCCATCGTTATCTATCAATTAGTAGAAACTGATCTTTTTTTATTCATTTACTGTGGCCTACATGCATGTTGTTACAGTGTAATTAAATATCTAAATATCTATTAGATTTGAAAAGTAGTTTTTGTACTACTGCAAAAATGTAGTCGGTATTAGACTATTTAACAAACGTTCTGTGTTGGATACTTGAGGAACGTGATTGATATGTTTCAATTCAAAGCTATTTTTACATTACCAGTGTTTGTGGTCCCGTCATTTGGCTATCTACATACGCTACAAATGATATAAAAAATCATTAGAAGTTTAATGGGCATAAATCGTATGCAGTTACAATGGTGGAAAATCTTCCATGATAAATTTTACATTAGATAAACTTATGTATACTATTGTTTTGATTTGTTTTATGAGTTAGAGCATTATTTTATCTGTATTTTTAATCTCGGATCAAAGACTTTTTATTCTATATAATAAGCCCGAATAGTGTACAAACTAATGTCCGTGGCAAAAAGAGTAAAAGACAAACGCAGTTATATTTGATAATAAGAACAGAATGAAAGTGTAACCTTCATTGCATTGTGGCCCCGAAAATCCCTTTGAACAGTAGCAAACTGGATTATTCATGTCATGTCCATCACAAAAGCCCCCATTCTTGCATTCGAGAGTCTGACATCCTTTCTTAACTATAAAACAGATATTGTATATGTTAAAACATTTTATATTGATATTATTATTATGCCATGAGAATTAGTTTGAATTAACTTTATAAACATTCCTCATTTTGAAATAAAGATGAGCAAAACATATCGCTTAAACCATGTTCATACTGTAGGGAAAAAAACAACTGAAAAGATTTATAGATTTGACTTATTGATTTTACACGAGAATTTAAACCTCTTGTTGGTACTTATAAATGCTCGTACCCTACCATATACGTAAAGTATTTACAACATATATCTCGAAACCTCGATTTTTAATTATTAATAAACAATTTCGGTATAATGCCTACCAAGAGTCGTTCGGTCTTTTACGTTTATGGTAAAACAACGTTGCTCACCGTCGACTGATTTTCTAGATATAAATATACACATATGATGAAAAGAAGAAATTAAACGATAGGAATATTTCAAATTATGCGCTTGCATCGTATAAAAAATGCCGGTTGGAAAGTAATTAATTCAATTTTGTATTGATAATAAAGAAGTATAAATCTGAATGTAGATCAGTGAGTCATATTTATCACGTTCAAATAATTAGAAAGAAGTTTTTTTATCAGATTGAAAAACAATGAATATAATTCTTATGGATATTACCCTTTTAGGCCGACAGTCAAACAGATCCTTCGAGCAGTGTTTTTGTCCACAATAGTGTTAACTATAGATACATCGATTGTACAGTTACCATTAGTAGGACACGTATCGCATGATGAGAAGAGAAAATAGTTCACAAACCCAGCAGGTGGATTTACTTTAAACGTCACACTAAAAAGTTCATATTGATTATTATTGAACTGTTATAATGATACAACATAACATTTAGCATATGATAAGATATCTCATATATAATGATCATATCAACCTTATACTTGATTTGCTAATTCAATAAAAGATTGTCTCTGATTGTATGTACTTTTACATCATAATGTTTGCGTATTATCAAAGAATATTTCATGTACAAGAGTATGCTTTTCAAAAACGTCAATTAATTAAAACTTCAAATTATGTTCAACAACAAACGAAAATATTATATATTATTACCATTCGTTTTCATTTCCAGTTCCAGGAGTCACACGATAGAGCACGTGACATGGTCCACCAGCGAGACATTCTACCTCGGCATCCGTAGGTAAACTTGGCTCAACGAAATGAGGTCGATACTAGTAAAAAAAGTTTTATATTTAATAATAATTGTCAGCTATTATTTAAACCACAACAATAACCAGGAAAAATAACTGTGATTATCAATATCGTGTACTTGCCAAAACCAGATCTAAAGCAAGCACGTGACGGATAAGTATAAGATAAAATTTTCTGGACAAAGTTACAATTTAATCTAACTACTATTTGCAAATTATTAATATAAATGTTTTTATGGCTTTCAAAATATCTGAAATGGTTAAAAAAATATCAAGGACATACCTTAAACGTGTATATAGTGATGGTATCTAAAAGAAATGTTAGAAAATCATATTTAAAAATTGATTTATTAAGCAGTTACATCGTTCAATATTATTTTGTACTAGAAACGGATATTTAAGTATACCATAATGATCTTCAAAAAAATAAAATGCACGTAATTCTTAAAGGTGCACTGGTATCTCAATGTGTGCTTTAAAAATTGTTTCTAAATGTTTACAAGGAATTTAATTCGATTATCATACCATTGTTTTATAAATTACTCACCAGAAACAACATTGACCTCAGTACACAGCTCGTCTTTATTAATTCTGTCAACATGATAAATACTGAGTTATAAGCAATATAATGTAGTTTATATTTATGCATTTGTAGATATTTGTGACATTCGTTTATGTAATATCAATAGATAAATCAATTAAAACTGATATTTTGGATTTTTAATTTCCATTAGTTTATCAAGAAGTTTATATAATCTATATACACTTTTGTTGTAAATCTATGAAGTATTGTTTGGTTTGATAAAACTAGATATATTAATGAAAGTCATTAATAACCCCACTTTTCAACTTGGTACTAAATTGTGCTGTAATGTATTTTAAATGTCCACCTATAATATTTATTTCTTTGAGAAGATTTTTCATTAAACCCTTATCATTAAATTACCATCTCGGCACAGAGATATGGAAACAGCAAGAAAAGAATTACTAATATTAAAAGAAGACATGAAAATCTTGGCCTGTAATACAAACAAAATCTGTATTTTATAATATTAATTCAAAAATCACGCTTTTATAGATGTTTTGGGTTTTAAATCATTGTTTTCTGGATACAATGTGTTATTTTTGTAAATTAAAGCACAAAATGGTAAAAAATTGTTAGAAAAAGTAATATGAAACAAGACTTTGTGTGAGCAAAATTGAAGACAAAAGAGGCAAAACCCTGTGAAAGTATTTGTCTGTAACTATATCTGAACTCAACCTATATTTATACGGTTTCATCTGCGTTACAAAAATTATTAACTCATTTGGAACATATTCAAGTTATTATCCAAAAACCATTAAACTGGCTACCGACTACGGACAAGCTCACCTTTTTATACCCCTCGCCAAACTAAGTTTGTTTCAGTAAAATAAAGAATGTGTGCTGTATAAATAATTTGTTATGAATATTTTCTTCCATTTTGATTGAAGTGTGTAGGATAAGAACGTTGAAAATAGCGTGGTTATTATGAAAAAACAGGTAAAGAATTTGTCCTTTTACAAAGCAGTTTCAAAGTTATCAATTGAAAAATTATATTCCAGATCAGAAGACTGATAAGGAGGAACAAGGTAGTGTGACAGTTATTCTTTGACAGACAAGAAGTTGTAGTTGAAAACCATTTCATTCAACCGAATAAAATGTTAAACGATTAACTACAATGTGACGCTTTCATACACCTTTCAGATACAAATACACAATCATAAATCATACCCATTTATGTCCATTGTCTGAATGCACAAAACCTTCAAACCCAATTGTGTAGATCTAAATCTAATATTAGCTTGATAACTATTGTGAATTGGTAATCTATCAACAATCTCGATTTGTCCCAGCAGCAGCGATGGATCAACATACCCTGCAGATACAATGGGTCTACAAAACAAGAAGTATTGAAATAACTAGTAACATTTCCTCATAAATATGAAGAAAGGAGCACCATTTGACAAACAGAAAATCTAGAATAGCAGTATGTTCTAAGCTTATGACAATCTGGCAAAAAGGGTGATTCAACGGAAGCATTAAAAACAGCAACAGCTGTAGTGTTATTTAATCTTCAACACTTAATGTGCTTGATTCAATGATCTCAAAGGAAAGAAATATATAACAACATTGACTATAAAAACATCACATAAATGACTGGTTTTTAGGAAAAATCAGCAAGAGAGTATAAAATAAAAAGGAGGAAAATAATGTTGAATTGCAAACGTACGCATGATTTGAATTCTCGCTGACAATCAAAGCAAAACTGCACTTTTGGTTCAAAACACAGGTAATAACCTTTGGCTTGGCTACGTCTGTAAATGCCTGTTATGATTAAATAAAAATGTTACACAACGAAATTTGAAAAATTATCAGCATTTCATAAATGCTATGACAACACGTCTGATAAAATGATAAAATACATTTTAACTATCTTTTGCCAACAGTATCTATAAAAACAAGCATTTACCATTCCAAATTTACTTATAAAAGACAATAACTAAGATAAAAAGGAAATGTACTAGTATTTTAACTTACTGCATGCGTGGAAGAAAGTCCTGTCGAAACTGCAATATTAAAACATTACATAACAGCGTTGATGGGAAAATTCTTTAACAGTTGTTTATCCAAATATATTGAATATTAAGGATCAACAAACATTTCATCATGTAATAAGTCCATTTTAATATTACGAAAAATATATTGAAGTAACCTTCTTCAGTCAGAAATAAAGTTATATACAAATAAACATTATTTTGTGTTTTCCTAAAATATAAAGATGTTTTTTGTGAAGTAACTTACCATTGCTACAGGTTGGGCCGGAGAAACCAGCCTTACATATACATGTTGCCACTCCATTATCTGTGTGACAATAGGCTTCATTCTGGCAAGTATTGTCACCTGTTTGGCAGGGTCCTGGCATAAACAGTTAAACAGATTAAAGTCAGCGAAAGTATATTGTAGAAGAAACAGACAAAGTCAGCAAAAGTATATTGTAGAAGGAACAGACAAAGTCAGCAAAAGTATATTGTAGCAGGAACAAACAAAGTCAGCGAAAGTATATTGTAGAAGGAATGATAATATTTATGATGTGTATGATGTTTAAATACCCATATGCATATGTGGTGGCATTTATTCAACTCTTACACACATATCGAAGTCATTGTTTTTCAAACAATATGACCACAATCGTACAGTTGAACTTCAATAAACATTGATGAAAATGAATTAACTTCAAATCATACATAAAGCTACACATGAAGGCATATAAGATAAACGAGTGTTTTAAATATCAACTAAATCTATTTAACCTGAAGTAAAAACAAGATCCGGTTGAACCGGGTGCTGTTCCCCGATTAGGATTCGGACACAGAAAAGCATATCTCTTGTTATTTCAGGGTTATGGCTCAGACAAAGTTCAAAGTGAAATAATTCATAAATTAGGTAATGCAAAGTAACTTTTCTTTGCACTGCATATCTTCGCAATAAGATTTATTTACCTACAAAGTTCCATGTTAATATCTTCAGAGCTTTGTCCCGGACAAAGTTCACAGTGGACAATAACCCAAAAAAAATAGCAAGACAGATTGACGTTTTTTGCACTGCCTATCTGGAGTTATATTTCTTTCTTTGTACTGCATATCTACGCAATGAGATCTATCTACTCAAAGAGAAACCATATCTTTGATACTTTCAAGCTATGTCCCTGACAAAGTTCAAAGCGAAATAATGAACAAAAGGAAGAAACTTCAAAACTTAGGTAAGGCAGATTAACGTTCTTTTGCACTGTTCATTTACACAATGAGATCATCTCCTTACAAAGTGTCTTTTTCATATCTCTTACACTTCCAGAGCTATGTCCTTGACAATGTTCAAAGTGTAGAAACTAACAAAGGGCAATAACTTCAAATTAAGGAAGGAAGAGTTTTGCACTGCACTTTTAATTAATGAGATCTATCTACTAAGTTTATTGTTGATACCTCTTATGGTTTCAGAGATATGGCCCGGTGAAAATATTAAAAAAGGGCAATAACTAAATTATCAGGTAATGCAGAGTTGTAGTTCCTTTTATGTTCTAGACAATGTTTAAAGTGTAAAAGTGAACAAAGGCATATAATTTCAAAATAATTCAAGACAATAGTTATGGTTCCTTTGCACTGCACTTATACCTAATGTTATCTATCTACCAACAGAGTTTCATGATGATATCTCTTATTGTTTCAGATTTATGTTCCGGACAATCTTAAAAGTTTTTAAAAAATGAACAAAGGGCAATAAATCCAAACTTAGGGAAGGCAGTGTTATGTTTTATGTGGATTGCACATCTACCCAATAATATATATCTACCTACAAAGTTTCATGTTGATACCTCTTGTTGTTTCAGAGTTATGTCCTTGACAAGAAAGCGAAAGGACGAACGGACTTTCTAACAGGACAGTTATAATGTGACTACTCTGTTGTTTTCTCTTTTGTTCTTTTAAGCCACACAAAAGAAAATAGCCGCATAAAAGCATAACGGAATGAATGACATCAATGAAAATTGTGTCCCTAGCCACATGATTACTATCCTGTGAGTGCGGACATCCGGACGCACTGACATTCGGACGGACGGACAAAGCGGCGACTGTTTGCTCACCCTTCGGGGAGCATAAAAATATATGTAACAAAACATGTATTTAGCCATACTTGCCTTGTTCGCATTTATCACCTATATAGTTATTTGGACATACACAAGTAAAATTGTCGTGACCTACGAGTAAGCATTTCCCGTTGTTCTGGCAAGGAAATCCGAAGCAAGGATCTTTTGAATGTAGAAAATAAAATAACATTACATGAATACCGTTAATCTCAATTTCGAACTTTAATTTTTTTCGTAAATTCCTTTCTGCCACAACTTAAATACAAATTTCGCTACATCAAAGTACAAAAAGGTAGAAGAGATCTATTTTTTATCCAAAAGAAGAAAATGTTATGAATACAGTTTTATTCTTCAATTTATCAATTTAAAACAATTAGTAGTTTGTTAACCAGCATAAATTACCTTTCATGTCAGCGTACACATCTACTGTGTAACATAGTTGTTGGTACATAGAATAACTGGAAATAATATTTGAACAACATGTTTAACAATGATAAATTTGAAACACATGATAATGCATTATAATCGATTCAGAAGGAAGCTTTTGCTTTAATACATATCTGACAATAATTTAAATCAATAAAGCATATATTTTTAACTTAATATTAAAGTTGTGTTGACAACGTGCACTTAAATATGTGTATATGTTTAGCGCATGTTCTCTTTTAAGTTTCATTCGCAATTACAAAATAACATCTGATGATACCTACCTGGATTGAAAACAAATCTGTTTCACCCCTGGACTATTATAAACAACAGAAGCCTCTGTAACACATGATTGTCCACGTGGATGTGCATTATAAACTGTCACTTCGTCAGTTGATGAGATGACATTTTCGCTATGATCAATAAATATGGTTTTACCTTCAAGTAATTTTTTTAACACGTGTCGCATAATTATATGCTTGACCCATTACCCGATATAGACGCCTTTTTGTCTCAAATGGTGAAAAAATTGCCTTATTTAGGCCCCCAACTCTTGTTTTTGTTTGAGAAATGTTGTTTAAAAAAGTGACCCCAAGCAAAAGATACATCAGGGGGTTGCCAGAAGGGGGATGTGCCCACTTCTGTTTGGGGGGGTTTGAAGGGGGCGGCAGTCCCCCTCATCGCCAAGACAATTTTGGACTTGTGAGAGGCTAAAAATGACCCCAGATCGATTGTAAGGTAACGTGTAACCAATTTTGAAAAGCATTTGACTCTATTTCAATCCATTAAGAAGTTGCAGCACTTTGAAACCAATTTTGATGGAAAAAAATCAACGCAAAATTTTGATTTTTGGTAATTTTGAGATGTCCCCTCGTTGCCATGGTAACAAGAAATTTAAGCCTGGGCATGTTTTTACAAAGACAATGGTCCAGTCAACATTTGTGCTAAGTTTGATTAGTATTAAAGCAGTTTTTATAGTTTTATAGCAATTTGAACTTGTAACGGGAGACTTTTCAATGAAAACAACCATTTTTTCAAAATGCTCATGAAGTAATGGGTTAAAAAAGCTTTAACTTTAAATATTCAAATGAATATCGACTGATTCAAAAACGTTTATTTTCGAAAGACAAATCTGAAACTGTTAAGAAAAATGCAACCTGGAACATAAGTAGCAACAGAACGAATAGTTAATATCATTCCGATTATACCGTTTTATTTTATGCTTTATGGTGGACTACTGATTTATCCGTGAAATTTATGTCTGATAATGTCACAGTGAAAGTTATCAAAATATAATTTCACACTTTTAATGACGAGACCAATTTTTAAAGGTTTTCGTGGTACCCCAATTTTTGTTGACAATTCTGACAATACCAGGGGTGTTTAGAGAAAATCAAAGCTGAAATTGATTAAAACTAAAATTTTAAAAGAAGTTAAAAGAAAAAAAATTGCTTGAATTCATTCAAATTTCAAATCACCAAATATCATCAAATTTTTTGTTTCATTTTTACAGTCTGAAAAATACAATTCCTTCCACACGCAAAACTGCTCTTGATGACAAATGGCCATATTGAAGTATCCTACGAGCATTAACAGTCTAATGTTATATGAAAACCTGAGAAAGCAATGACAGTCATCCGCTCGAAGAATAAGTAATCTACCTAGCGTTCGTAAGACAGCCTTTTAACAATTCCATGTTTTCCAAATTCCTAGCAACTTTTTGAATGTTTTCACATCTGTCTACAATTATTGATTGTCTGCAACAATCCTCAAATAACTTTTCTTTTTTCTGAAAAGATGTATGACTAACATATCCAAATGATGTTCCTCTGGTTTAATATAAATATGCTATAAGTAACCAAAATAGGTCGGATGGTGTGACTTTTTCATCTACTAAAACTGTTTGTTTTTATTATAAAAAAGCTATCATTCATGTTTTTGAATAGACATAAATAATATCATCGCCATTTAACGTTGCTTGTCGAAATGTTTTTATCAGCTCAAGACTTCTTGTATTAAGGGGAAATTTGACTAATATTGGACTAAAATTGAGGCTACCAGTAGGGAAACAGATTTTAATATCAAAGTTAATATTGAGCAAATTTCACTTTAATTGTTTTTAAGCATAAAATAAAAAGAAAATTCGTTTGTTTGTTTTGTTAGATGTTATTTTATATCATCTAATAAATTTAAAAAAAAGTATTCTCACTCGTGACTACACCATTTGTGAGAATACTGTTTTTGAAGCTTACTCGATGAAATAAAATTTCATCTTAAACAAAAACAAAAAATATATTCTCTTTGTCTTCGTGTTTGTGGCATGTTTTCATTAAAGACCTAAATTAAAAAAATTGTTATGATAGTTCTAATTTTCGTTATCAAAGAACGTTACGTAAGAAAATCATTATCAAGGTGACCAACAAGCTTAAATATGACGTTGATCAACGTTGCTGTTCAAAACTTGATAAGTTTAAAAAAAATATATTCCAAATTTTATTATAACGTTGTACTGTCTTTTAGTATTTAAAGATCCTATAACAACATATTTTTCATGGTTTTATTTCATAAATATGATGCTCAAATTAAGATTTGTCAATATTGTAAGTTCCAATAAGCATTATTTATAAAGATATTACCGAATTTAACATTTCATGTAAATAAAGGGAGCTAATTAGAATTTTTTTTTTCTATAAATTCTAAGTCAAATTTTCCAATAAGGAATGAATGCATATAAATTATTGATTAAATATAATGTGCACACATATTTGCAGTACACATTTTCCATATTCTTCGATGTTTGAAAATTGTTTTATTTGCATAATTATGTACATATATATTTTTGCAAGTGTGGTATACAAACACAGTCACAATATCAATCACAAAACATACAGGATCTTTAAATTACATTTTGGCATGATTATTGACTGGTTACCTTCTCTTTATAATTCTGAGAAAGATATTTGTTCAAGATTTTGTTTTTCCGTATCAAAAGAATTAGAAGCGATAATTTGTTTAGCGTTTGGTCAGATTTGACTAAAGGTTACTAAAATTTAATCTTCTGAAAAACTATCAATTAGAAAAAAAATGAAAATAAAGTGTGATGATAAAAAAAACCACAAAGTGACTAAGTCTTTCCTTTCTTTTGTTTTATGACCATAAGAATTTTTAAGAAATTGGAAAATATTCCCGAGTTTAATTGTATTTGACTGCTTTTAAAACTATTAACCATGTATTTCACTTATGTACTTTTCCTTTATTAGTATGGGTATAAACAGTTAAAACAAGCTTAAGATTACCAGCATGGGGAAGCTGCTTTTCCAATTTGATCTGTATCGTCTGCGTCATTATCTTTATCATCCATATCACACCGGTCACTAGGTACAATCCCACTGGCTGATCCACCGACAGTTGACCCAGTTGTTATCTTACAAGAAGACCTTGAAAAAGTATAATATATTCAGACATTTTGCATAACAGCTTCGTAATTTTCTTTTGCTTTCTGTTACTTCTGAACGTGAAATAAAATGCTGAGTGACTCTGTTTATACATTAACATTTAGCATATGTACAAGTTACAACTTTCGTTGCACATGGGTAGAATAAGGAGTATGCTAACTTTTAGGGGCATAAATTTCTGGAAATATTGATTCTAGAGTTAGTTATATACCCATTTTATTATGGTGCCTGAGATGACATGAAACGCTGATTTGAAATTTGAAGTAAACATTAAAATAAAGAAGTTAAAATAATAATAATAAAAAATTTTTTTTTTTTTGAAACTAGAAATGTGTCTGAAAACACGGATGCTCCCGCTCTATATGTGTAAGGACGCTTTACAATATAAATACAGATGTAATGACAGGACGGCATAGTCATTATTTCATAACCTTTGCATCCAATAAAAACATTTTAATACAAAGTAACTGATGTATGTCGAATCACAAACAGACAAAGCACTGATTGCTCAGTTAAATCTGTATTAAAAATTGGGAAAATTTACTAGGTTTTTACAAAATTAACAAGTACCTGCACTTTAATTGTTAGAGAAACCATTGAGTATCACAATTGCCAGGATAACGTGGATTCATTATGCTTAACTTTTACCAACTGACTTTAAAATGCCTTAATACATGACCGGGTTATTGACAAGACAATATTTTCGAATACACGCATACAAGCACTCAAACACAAATGCACCCACGCAAGTACTGAGTGAAAGACAGGGTTCAAACTTTATGCTAAGGGGAGACAATTTTGAAAATAGATGCTCGCGTTATGAACGTTTTCACATAAATTGTTGTTGATCATTAAAATCCCAGAAATTGGAAGTTTGATGTTGGTAACTTGATGCAATAAGAAACCTTTTGTAAAGGAAAATAGGTAAAAAGTTCATGGGGAGATAATTCTGAAAATGTTGGTGTTGATATATATGACAAGGTTCATGATTAGGAATATATATTTGACGTCTGAAGTAGATAAAGAAGTCACAACAAGATAGTGGAAAATGTTTACTCTATCAAACTTTATTCAGAAATCTTGACGCAGACGCTGGTGTGATTGGTCAGCTCGCTCTCTATATACTTCGTATAGTTCAGCTAAGAACTTAGCTTATCAAAAGTATCAATTTCTCTACTACTTCATTCAAACGTTCTTTCTCTCAATTTGTAGTTTAATATGCTCAAATGTTTAACATATATTTCACCATAATAATGTTTCCATGTATAGTCATTGTATCCCATTAGATATCTCCCACTTGATTAAATCAGAAGGGTTGTTTTGGAGATACTCTTTGTGTACGATGCATTTGACTATAATAAGGCATTTAAATTAGCTAACTTCTTCAAGGGTATATCATTAGAAGGAAATTTTGAGTCATTTTCGGTGTCATTGCACAAGTTGTTAGTTTTCAAAGATTCTTTTTTCTCTCGATTTCATAGCTTATAGAATGAAAATCAATGATTTTCCATCTTGGGCTACATATTGATTATTGATGTATTTACATGTTTGCCTGGCCACCAGTTTATAAGCTTATTATTTGAAAATGTATTTTAACGATAATTTTATCCTAATTTGTTTTATCTCTTTATATTTAGTTGTTTAATCAATATTCTCTTACATGAATCAAGGTATATGTTTAAAAGAAGTACTGATATTTTTAAAAGGCATACTAGTTACTCGCTTTTTGGGTTATATAACGTTTCATCAAAAAAAAACTAAATATTTTATCGTTCTTGATTAATCTCTGCTTGACAAGAACCTCCATACACAAACTGATGTATTTTATAGAAAATATTTTTATGTTGTTTGAATACGGTTTAATCGAGACAATTTTTCACATGTTAAAATCGCATGAACTTATAAGTAAGGTTTTTCAAGATATTTTCAATGCATAGATCCCGGATCCAATTATAATTATCAGATTGAGGATACGATAAGAATTTCACCACAACCTAGTTGTTAACAAAAAATCACATATCAATGTTTGTGGTTAAATCTATTGTTAATCAAATACACGATCAGAGCAGGGATCTCTTTCTAACTTTTGATCCAGATTATTCGAAATAGTGGGTCTTAATTTGTTTAGGCATTGATAAATTTAATCATATTTTTTTAAATCGGATTACCCTGATAAAAGCGAAATTTTCACATATTACACACATACTCTGAACGTGTGTGCGAAAAATATTACTTCCGTAACATTTCGTAGTGTACTCAAAAAAACTGAAACTACAGGTTACGACAAGCTCAGACTTATTATTGTATCAAGATAATAAAATTTGAAGTGTTATTTTCTTGGATACTATCTGACATAAACCAAAAAGTTATCTTAGAAAGTAACATGTCATACCTTTAAGTGAAACGGGACATATTTTATCTTACTAAGCTTACTATCACAGGGATAAAATATAATTTTATTTCACAAACGTAGTGTCAACGTACCAGTGCTCAACCAGTTTTTCACAAAATCACATAAAAACTTTTTCAAAACAAAAAGTTTGCTGGGACACTTATTTCTGTTACAAAGCTGGCACTTCCAAACTCACAATAAGCTAAAGCGTTTTAACGACACGGATCAGGATACAATTTACCAAGCAGTTGTATATAGGGTATAAAAACAGTATATTTTTCAGGCAACCAAATCAGTGCTTGACCAGGTGGCTTTATCTCTATCAGAACTTTTATTTTTTTAAAAACAGATATGACTTTAATGTTCAACAATTCTATTTCAAAGATATTTTGAAACATTAATGTCTATAGATGTAAATATGAGAGTAAATATGATACGAAGGAAATGCTATACATTGACAAATAAAGTGTTTATAAGAGTTTTGGAATTTACATATACTGGGGTGTTTGAGATTTTTTATTTTTGGCGCCTTTCCTATGGAAATATATTAAAAGGCAATTTAACAAAGTGTTGTCCTCATTTGCCCTAAATTATCATTATTTTAGTGTTTTAAATAGTTTTTACTGCTTCTTTTATTTTAGAAATGTATTTTTGTATTGTCTGCAATATGGCCAATCTTTGGCCAATCTTCTACAAAACGTGGGGTACTTGTACATGGTGTAGAGGTTACAGGTTAGGTACAAATACCACACACAAACTTCCAGGGTTTTCCACTTTAATGCATAAATCGTACACAAATAGAAGTATTGGTCGAGCACTTGGCTGGTCGAGCACAGGTTCTGTGACACTAGATAGCATATGACTACTGAAAGGTAGATGGAATGTTAACGACAGAAGTATGTATACAGCCGAAATGGCTCAATAAAACTAAATTTACTATTATGCAACACTTATCATATTTTAAGCCGACATTGCACCGATATTGCTTCTATCATCCATCAGAATTATTATCCACACACTGTCTGTTTTGCAAGGTTTTTAATATAAAAGAACAGATGTGGTAGTGAAAGAATTAACAAATACCAGAATTTAATATCGGACCAATATCATGAATCAACTATGGACGAATAGTATCAATTAACTATGAATTGTTATCAGTTTTTTTGTGAGACCACCATCATAACAGTCAAATCTGAAGCATTTACTTGGTGTATATAATGCTTTGACTTTTTAATCAGATATAAAATATAAGTTGATATGTATTTACTAAATACAACTTAAAATATTGGTCTAAAGGCAGGATAAATTGCTTCATGGTGAATAAAATTGTAGTGTGTTCTAGATTCGGGCTATATAAAGAGAATGAAAAATTCAATAAAATATTTTGCGGTAATTCTTTAATTTTGGATGCCCCAATTTTATCAATATAACGGACTGACATACGATACTATATACTGTACATCGACTAACTGATATTTGCCATATATATCTCTGCTTGCTGGGATACATGTAAACTGTTAACTCCAAAACTTTTACAACTTTGATGAGTAAAATATGTCTAATGACTGACTGGCAAGGCAAGTTGGTGAAAGTCAAAGAGTCTTCATTGGACGTACTTGTACAAAAAACATGGCAAGTATGTGAGTACTTTTAACAATGTTACCAACACTAACTCCTTAGTACTATAAATATCACAAAGCGGTATATAAAACACAATCGTTCGTCACAAACAAATGTTGAATTTGGCATTATTTGTGTTTCAGGTTTTAACAAAATGTTTAAAATATATCAAAGTGGGTTATATTATGCACAGAAGCAGAATTTAAGTGTTATAAACAGTTTGACAAATATCTCCCATACCGATTCGAAACGATAGTTGTGTACAATAGAACTTGGCACCTCGCTCGGACACTGCATACGATTCTACTGCGATCTTCCAATGTTGGTTTCTCGAATTTTACTGTTGCCTACAAAATCATATATTATATTACACACATGCAATTGTATTAAGAATTTAAACAATGATCACCATTAGGACATAGTCTGCTTCTGTTTCAAATTTTATTCATTCATTGTTTAGTTCAGAGGCCCCATGAACAGATGCACAGTGCATTGAATGCCACTGGTATGGCATAGTTTATACCTGCAGTATATGAAAGGAATATTAAATCAAATACGACAAGCCTTTAGGAATTTATGCAAGCAATGATATTGATGCAAACAAGAGTGTTCAAATAAATATAAAGAGAAATAGAAACAATTAATGAAGTCCAAAGTGGCAAATTTGAAAATATTCCAGGTTCGTATTGATTGAGTCTGTTCATGTACCTTACTGGAAAATGCAAGCAACTGTCCATGCCCTCCAACACAGACCTGAGCACAATTCAACAGTTTAACACGGTGAAGGGAAATTTTTAATTTAGAAACATCCACAGCTGTGTTCATACTGCGGTAATCATGACACATTCAATGAGACATTAAAATCGTTAAAGCCTCAGAATCTCAGTAGATGTATTACGCATTTAGAAAATAATTATATTAATAATTATATATTTAGAATAAAAAGAACATAAAAGAACATAAAAAATATATCTATCTATCTATCTATCTATCTATCTATCTACCTACCTACCTACCTACCTACCTACTTACCTAATTACCTACCTACCTACCTACCTACCTACCTAATTACCTACCTACCTACCTACCTACCTACCTACCTACCTACCTACCTATCTATATATCTATCTATACAAATATAACTTACATTAATTTGGGTAGTGTTGGCTTCATCTAAAATAATAGATAAGTGAAATTAACTTCTATTATAGATATTTATAATGAAATATGTCATCAAAATTAATATAAATCCAGACTTACAAAAATAAAATATACAAATATTATTACAGAGATATATAAAAGCCTAAATATAATACATATTTAACCACACCACCTTACATAAGAAATATACATGCATTTACCTCTTAATTTATAAGACTAACTGAACACAAATGAAAAGATTGAAAAAAATGAACACCCTCAGAAAAGCCCAAAACTACAAAATTGAAAATGTTGCAGACTCGTTTTAATTGAATCTGTTCACTAGTTTAAATTGATAAGCGAGAGAAATAGCTCAAAAAGTTGAACTTACCTTTTCATAAAAAAAAACAAAAAAAACTTTTGAAAAGCTTTTATATAAATAACTTCCTGACTAAATTTTACCAAAACTTTTCGCTTGCAACTTATTCCTTATATCGCTTAACAAAACTGCCGTTATATTACATGTCTTTATTTTATGTATTTTTGAGTGGATAACTGGTTAATCTATCAAAATTATAAAAATATAATTAAAACTTGTCAATCATTGGGGATGGGGAACGGACCCAATGTGGTTTCCAGAATTGAGCATCGGTAAAAATATATGTTAAAGGGTAATTTTTTAACTTTTTGAAAATTTATGTAAAATTCAAAGCTCAGCCTCATTTGAAGAAACCCAAAATGCAATTCCTACAATCCTAACTTTCCTATATATTAACCCTTTTTAATCCGGATTTTAATGCAGCCTCCGTCGAGTTATTCTTTAAGTCTCGGGTTATGGTGTGCAATATGTATTAAATATGTCACTATACGTATTCGGGTCTATTTCGAAAACTTACATCCTAACGATGCTTAACATTTAAACAAAGACTTATTGAAAAATGTATTGAGCCTTGGCTACAAAAGAAAGAATCGCCGGTCAAAATTCCATCTGAGCTCCATATGTTCTGAACAGTTCAAAAAGTGCATTGCATTAAATATCATCAACATAATTACGGATCACTTCCATGAAGCAACCTATGTTTTATTCTATTGTATATCATTCTAATTAAAAAACTCGTTTCCTAAATAGACATTTTTTCCTGGTCGATTAGAATAATACCATCCGTAAAGAAAGAAACAAAAGACATTTAGCTCACTAAAAGTATTGATTTTATTTAAATTTTAACGAACGCGTATCGAATCTTCTATATTATCACTTAGACGTAGAATTCAAAATTAGTTTTCAGGAAGTAAAAATTTCCCTTGACATTTGTTACATTGAACTATTTCGAATTATTCGACACCATAGTACAATGTAAGTATCTGGTATGGATCGTTGTGAACCAAAGAGTACATTTATTTTATACAACAGACACAGAATATCGACTAGAAGACCACGTTAATTCTATTCGGCTCGCTAATGTCAATATAAATCACTAACAATAATAGTGTATTTATTGATACGTTGCTGTGTTGATTTTAAGCACTTATGGTAATGTACCTTTACCAGTTTGCTGTCAAAATATATATTTATTTAGTGCCATGTTTGTTCATATACCATTTTTACACCGATATTAATTTGGCTTCGCGTGGCTTACTCGAAAACGAAAGAAGACTATTTCTTTTTAGGACAGTTGAATTTGGCCCTTGTTTTGAGCCAAATCTTAATTAATGCTTTTATCAGGAGTTGTTCAAAAATGTTTAGCATTGTCCGGTGGTAAGAATTCGTAAAATTCCTGTATTTTAAGTGTATTTAATGACATTTTCTTCGTAACGCATGTTTTAAACGCACTATAACTCACGACGGAAAACAATCGATACAAATCGGGATGATGTAGAGGAAAGTAATGAGGGTAGAATTACGTTTCGATTTTCTTCAAGAAAACTTTAAATTTTTAATAAATGTTTTAAAATTTGAATCTTACACTGCGATAGACCTACTCTTTCTTATTTACATATGGTGTTAGATTAGCGAAACTAAACACATGATTCTATTCCCGATGCTCAATCTCAGTTCTATATTGGGTTCTTCCTCAATTTCAAAGAAGTGACTGAGACTACATTTTAAAATATTTCAATCACTTTCATTTTCACTTACAATTCCGACATTATCAAATCTGTTTAGCACAAAACAAAGTTGAAATTGACTGTTCATAATAGCCTAATAAATGTATGTACGTCCGCTCGATTTCAATTATACATCCTTGGCATTGTGTAACTTTTTAATCTTCTAGTTTTCTTTTTGTTTAAAATTAGTAAATAGGTATCAATTTTGACTGCATTTTTTGTAGAATAATGCCCGATTCGAGTTCAAATGTGCAGCAATATAATCACAAAGGTCGATATGCCTGGTTATTTAATTACAAATCATTTGAAGGATAAACCGAAAATCTTCTGTACGAAATCTGCTGTGGTCATAGTATTATTTTTATAATAGGTTTGCTCCTTACAGTAGATTTGCTTTTGTTGATCATGGTCATGTAAATACATAATTAAGACGCTTGTTTTTGGTTGAGTCCTTTATGTTTTGTTCAGGGGTGAAATGTGAAACCTAAATTTACAATTTATATGACATTTAATATTTTCGATAATTTTAATAATTGTTATAATTCTGGAGTTGTTTCAACATATTTTTTTTGTGGAGGGGGTTATTATACTATGATGCAAGAAAAAATAATGCTTATTTCCATGCTTACATGCTTATAAAATAAATTGGATAAAAGATATGTTGAGCTACATTGAGCGTAGAAGTATTTTTTCTAACGTTATTTGATTAATTGAGCTCCACCTATAAAGCTTAATGGACGGTTTTCTATGAATATTGTCATGTTGGTAGCACAAGGGTGTAAATACACGTGACGTTGTGAAGCGTGCGAATCGTCCCGCAATTTACGTAAAAGAATTTGAAACAAAAGTTATGGAAACATTTTACATTTCATTATGCAATAATATATATATATTAGTAGCTATTTTTGTGCATCTACATCGGTGTTGTGAAATGTTTGATAGCTGAAATAATAAATGATGTTGGTCTTTCCTTCCAAGTTCAGCAGGTTACGGAATCACGCAATGCACAAACATTGTCCGTCATAATGTTTGATATATTTGATTTATATATAATATTCAACACGGATACCGATTTTTGTATTTCATAAGTCTAAAACGACTTTACTTTCACTAGACAATTGGAAATAAAAAAAGTATTCAGATAAACTGCAATTACGGTGGAATAAGACTGTTCTATGATAAATACAAGAAAAAAACGTGATTAATACAAGAGCATCGAAAATAAACTAGTAAATATTAATTTTGTTATTTTTGTTTAAAAATAATGCAGATTTTTAACTTACGACTAGAGATTATAGATAATCCGAAGCATGATGTTGATTTTGACGTTCTGAAAAGATACATTAAGCGAAACATTTTTCTCTGTCACAGAATACATATAAAATATGGATTTAAATAATACGTAATATATTAAGAGGACTCTATGACATTTCGACCCAAAGACACCTCGAAACAATTAGACATCTTGACCCATGACACTTAGATTCTTATACACTTTGACTCCTTTTATTGATTAGACAATTTAAACCCTTATTCTATATTATAGAAAACATATTTTAGAAAAAGAATGTGCATGAAGAAGTTCATTCAGAAAAGTGTGATGTTTATTTTTCAAGTTTGGGTCATATATAAAATTTAAAAGATATATATTGAATTGTAAGTGAACTCATATTAAGCTGTGATTGATCATTCATAATCATTCTTCAAGCTAATTATTGCAAATAAGAAACAGAAACACACACATTACATTTAAACAGAAAATAAATTATGCATAATGCATTAATATTATCGTAAATTACAGTAATTAAAATATACATTGTACATGTTTTATTCCTTTTTTTCGAATTTAGATAAATTACCTTTTTTACAATTCATGCAATTTGGTTCAAAGAAATAATTCTTGAAAACATATTCCTCCACCCCCTGAAACTAAGAATTAGTAAATGGTGACCATTTTTTTTTCATTTGACTCGAGATTATTTCTTTTCATAATAGAAACAACAGATTGAAAAAACATAAGATTCTTACCTTTAAACATCGATCCAAAAAATATACCTATGAATCCACATGCGTTAGTCACATAATTAAATATTTTACATAATCGTCCTATATAAATATTATAGCATAATAGCCCAGTACATTATGAAAAAGGCACCAAACACCAAATGATCAGTAATTAGTTAGTTGTAATTAGATTAAAATCTATATTCATGTTTTCGACTAAACTGAAAAATGATATAGTTTCATCTATTTCTTTTATGACAATTTTAACTAATAAAATTGAAATTTAATTTTCAAAATCCTTTATTTAATCCGTTTACATTTGGCACTTCATATACAACCTCAAAAGCTGTAAAAGTAATATTTTCGTAAACAAACGAAATTTTGAACACATCTTGAAATTATTTGATATCTTAAAGTCAATATTTATTCCAATATACGTTATTAGCGTCACATTTCATAGATAGAGTATTCTCCATTTATTAGGAATGGGAATTATCTGCTATTATCAGAAATGGGATTTTCTCCCATGCATCAACATGGGACTTTACCCCCAAAATCAGAATGGGAGATTTCACCCACGGATGGATTTTCCTCGGAACGAAAATAGGAGGATTTTTAAACATTACTTTTTTATGTTTTTATTTACACAATAAAGTATTTAAAGATTTCAATAATAATTTTCTTGCAAAAAAAGTTAATTCTTTATTTTTTTCTAAATCTCCCCTTATTTTTATCTCCCATTTTTATAAAATGGGGATGAAACCCCATGGATTTCCCCATGGGATAACAAAACCCGAGTGGGAGATTGAAAAAAACTCAGTGGGAGACTCACTTTTGTCTCCCCAGCACTTATTGTGAGGGGTATGTGAAATTCAAATGCCAGTTTTTGCTTAACTTTATACCCTTTGTTGAATGAACTCTTTATTTATTTTCTTTTCACTTAAGAGAGAGTAGTTGAGTTTGCGAATATCCCGGATTTGCAAACTTATTCCGGAAACTATGAATTGTTTCCTTATCGAGAAAGGCTAGACATATTTCTTTTCCTTTCAGCTAAGACTTATAAACATAAATATAGTTACTAGCTGAATTATCCTATTGGAAAGCGAATTGGTTGTCAATTAAATTTTCGTTCTTGTCGGCCAATTTTGTATGTCGAGTTTTGAGTATATTTTTGAAATAATACTATTTAATGCTGTCCCTCTATAATTCTACCTACCAAAATGCCATCCTTAAAGATGGGAACGATTAAGTCTTGTGTTCAACTTTCTGGAAACACTCTCTGTGTATAAATTTTATTATACAACTTCAAAAGAAATGTAGAAATTATGTCAAAGGAATGTTCAAATACTTCTGCTATAAGGTAAGCAGTCCCCGGGCTCTATAAATTGGTTTGACGAAACTGCAATTTTAACTTCTTATTCAGGGAAATCAGCATCTTATTCATTATCATATGCAAAATTACTAATAAAGTGCGTGCTTGTGTCAGTGGTCGTTTCGATACCGTTAAGATTATTGAAATTACAACAATATTTATTATCCTTTAATGTGGTTTTATACTACGATTTTACACATTTCCAAGATTGTTTGCTTGCGCTATTGATAATTTAGCTGTACGTGGTACGTTCTACTTGATTTCGCTGAAATATACGTTTTCATTTTTTCTTTATTTTAACATGACTTTTATAACATAATAGTGTTACTTTGAATATGTAATATTGTGTTTACAAATATGATGTACGTTTTTCTGTTTCTTATCAACAAATATTTTTCATTCAATTTATAACTATATATGTGCATATATTTTCTTTAAAATAATTCAAATAATCAGTAAGTCTCATATTTCTTGATATTAGAAGTTGGATATATAGTGTACAGGAAAAATATGACACTATTTGCTTGGAAAAGTGTGAATTACATACCGACTGAGACATTTAAAAAAAAAAGAAAAACACCTATCCAATTTTTATTGGTTTTATTGTAATTACTGAAATTAATGATAATATGTATACACATTTACATAACAAATTTTCTGTTTAAATGAAATGCGTGTGTTTCTGTTTTTTTATTAAAATACTTGACTCGAAGAATCTTGTAATGATAATAATTAAAAACATTTGTTATTTGATCTAAAGTATTCCTCTTAGTATCTTACTTGCCTTTCAAAGTACGAAAATTGATATAACTGTCAAAATATCTCACTCACTTTAGGGCGTTAGGTCGAAAAGTCATTTTAAAAAAGGGGCTTAGAGTAAAGGGGTCATGAATTCATCTTAAAATCCTAAGGGATCGAAAATCACAGGATCTAAGTCTCTTACTCGCTGTTAAGAGTTATCTAATTTATTATAAAACATGTATATAGTTTCTGTGTACACCATTTAAGTCAACTACCAACTATATCCCACATGCTGGTTTCATTTCTGAATTATTACCTTAAGATATTTATGAAATAAGTTTTCACTATTGTTTCGTTTATGATACCTTATAGGGAAAATGATTTCATTAAATTTTTTGTGTGAAACTTACGTATATGTTGCCGTTACACATAAATACTGTGGTTTAGAACTGTTCATTTGTCCATCTATTGTTATATCTACCGAGAAGATAGGGGAAATACCAGGAAGATCTGTTGACTTTATGACAGGGTGTGTTGTTACGATACTTTGTAGTTCAGCTGTTGTTTCGGTGCTCATTACAGGAGGTGGGCTACGGGATTTAAAAACTTGAATTAAAAGTTGAAATAACAATTAGATAAGAAATACATGTTCATTTTTACAATACAAAATTGATAATCTGTTAACAAGTACTTAAATATACAATTGGAGTTTTACTATATATTTATATTTCGATTTTCTGAAAGAGTAAAAGTACGGTGAATTGCAGAACTGTGAGATTTTAAGACAGATTGCATTATTTAATTAAGCTTATCTACATTAAAATAGGTTGTAGTTAAAATGGCGCTTATATTTATGAACATATGTCGGATCAAATTAGGAAGTTATTGCATTTGAAATTGAATAGTTAACATTCATTTTGAATGAACAAGTATTGAATATCTTTAAACTTTCATTAATTTTGATATCTATTTAGAAAATTATCAACACAAAATAGTAAGTTGATAAAGTACATGAAGAAACACAATCACATGTAAATTGTTATTTATACATATATTACTTTAATCACATGTACATTGTAATTTATACATATATTAATTTGTCCGTACAGCGGTAATAAATATGATAATCGAAAAGTGATAAAAAATTGCCCGTTAGATCTCCGTTTTGAAATTTAAGAAATATTTAGTCTGGAAAAGAATTCGTATACACCTTTATAAGTGTACGAGTATTAATATCATTATTATTGCAAATATATTGTAGATACTTGATTAGTTTACAATAAAATTCACCGAAGTTACTAAATTGTATTACCCTGATTTAGCTGCAACATACAAACGCAGACTGCATGCTAATCTCATGTCCCGATGTTTATAACATATCAAAGTGCTTCCATCTTTTGGAGAAGGAGAAATTATCCCGCTGCCCTGTAAGCGACAGACAAACGAATTATCACAGTTTTTTAAATATTACATAATGTTTCATTGTTTTCGGAAGAATCGAAATTGGTCTCTTCATACATTTACAGTCATGTGTTAATTCATAGAATTAAGACTCGTAAAAAAATTATAATGCTGGAAATTAACAAATTTCCATGTTCTAAAACGTTTTAAAATGCATATCGACATCATTTACAAACGCAGAGATGACATAAGTAATTTAAATGTGAGTTTCCTAAGATGACCAAAGCTTAGGGTCATAATTTATAAATGTTTGTAAATAAATGACTTTTGTCATTATCTAAGTTTATTTCTATCTTTAAAGATTAAAAAGAAACACAATATAAGACGCAATAATTACTTACAACAGTTCCCGATATATTACATTTTGCTGGAAAATAGAAAGATATACATAATCATTATTTTGTGAAACGAAAACCTAATAATAAAAGACTTTCAATACTACTTATTACTTTGGCTTAGGTTAAGCTTTATCCTCAATTTGGATAGCTTTTACCTTTATTTGCCTATATTTCCCTACAAAATTTAGCACAAAATATATCAAATTTAGCACTATATATAATTTCTTAATCGCTGGTCGTTGGTCTACATAGATTTAGGCTATCTTGGCTTAGTACAAAAAATTACGTGTCAGGCAATCTGGTCCGGTGTATCCATATGAACAAGTGCAGTGACCGCCAACAGAACAAACACCCCGCTCATTACAAGGATCTGGTTCACAACCACCTGGAATTTTCCAATGATATAAGCAGTTTATTAGATATAACATATAATTTTGTAAAATTTTCAACAAAAATTACATGAAAAATAGAAAATAGAATTAACCTACTTGCTGGGCAATTCATGACTCCATATCTCTGAGAAGGACATTTGTCTGTAAGAAAAATAAATAAATAAATAAACATCGCCTGCATAAACAAATATTTGTAGGTAAACGTGGAAAAAATCCATTATTTTATGACCATCTTTATTGCAATTTAACGGATTCATATGTAAATCAGTAAAGCAAATGCAAGATATACTGTGCAATTTTTCATAACAAAATTATCAACAAAATGGACCAAATGTCTTACCCGTTTCACAATGATCCCCTTTATAGCGATCAAAGCATTCACACGAATAACTTTGGACACCATCGATACATATTCCATGATGATTGCATGCATTTTGATGGCAATCGTTAATATCTACAAAATATGTATTTTAGTAAGTAAAGCAAATAACTCGTGGTTCCACCCGATGAAATAATTCACTCGCTGATACAAGAGCAAAAAAAAAACTTTGGTTGTATCTTTTAAAGGTTTCTTTGAGAAGGTTTTCAAAAACATGCTTTAATATAAGAAACACATTTTAATCAAAATCATTGAACTGTTGCAAAATTTTAAATTATGATTAAGATTACTTTTGAAAAGTAAACAACAAATCCACTAATTTGTTTTATAATGAAATACTTGGTTTTATCAACGAAATAAATAAAATGAAATAAAATTTAAAAAAATTTAAAAATCGCCATCTGCATATTTCACTAACTCTACAGCTTTGCAAATCTTTACTTAAAACTGTTAACATGAATTGTTTTGTTTTCAACGTTCTTGCAACCGTTTAACACTTTTGACGCGTTTGTTGTCTCCAGCACGTCAATAAAACAGTAGTGGATTTCTGTTTTTATTTCCTACGTAGTTGAACAGCTTTAAGCTTACGTAATTGGCACCACATCAAAAACGTAAAATTTCAAAATATTTCATTTTTTACTTCTCAGTAAGATATGTCGTAAACTGAAATTTTTCTGCTGAAATTATGCACTTACTATTTTCGCACGAAGTCCCAATAAAGCCCGGTTTACAGTAACACTGTTCATTAAAACAAATATAGCTGTTATTATGAACGCATGGATCTGGATCACAAAAATCAATTCCTGAAATAATAATTGAATATATATTTCTATTTGATTTCTTTATACCTTTATCTAAGTTAAAGTTATCCATGTAACATAATATGAGAATGTCTCTACAGAGAAACAACTTTCCATAATAGATATGTATTGCACACAAGTGGTGTGTGTTAAAATATATATCATAAAATGAAAGACGTGTATAATACAACATAACACAAATGTTAATGAAGACCTGTGTTATCATCAATTGTCAACGGTCTAAAAAGAAAGTGATGTGCTGATTCATTTACTTGCTTGAACCAATAGCATCTACTTGCTTGAACCAATAACATCTGCGTTTACTGTGTTTACTCACTGTAGAATAAATACTTAATGTCGAGCCACACGATAATAACACGAAAATATATTAACTTACTATGTTCGCACGTTTTCCCATACGTTTTAGGCATACATCTACATCTATACCCACCAGTGGCTATATCTCTCTCACAATAAGCTGCATTTTTACACGGTGCTGACATACACGGATCTATATGTGATATGATAAGCGTAGATAATGATATTGACAATCATTACCTCCCTTGGTCGCCATTTTAAGGGTCATTTCCAATTTAACATGGGCCTTATTGCTCCTTGCCAAGAGGAGTGAGCAATTTTTGTTTATACTTTTGTGTCCATGGACCCGATTTTGAACAATTAAGCTAAAAATAAATTCAAAACCAAATCTTCATTCCATTTTCTATTATATAAAGTCATATATTGGTTTCCCCTTCGTTGATTCGCAACATGTCATATTAATGAATGAAAACGGAAACAAATTTCACGCCTCAATCGCAGGGAAGTCAGTATGAAAAACAAAACATGAACTTAATTCGAAAATGTGTTTTTTACATTTGTATCTTCCACAATAAATTTCTATTTTTTTTTTTGTATTACGCAGTATGTTACGAATGCATTCAATTGCTGTACAAGACTGTAACATGAACTCAAAAGCTATAAAAAGGTGACAAATACGAAAATATATTTATAGAAGTAGTTTTAGTTTTGAGTCTTGAAACTGTTTTAGAAAAAAATGATATTTGAAAAAGAAACAGTCAGGGGGAAAATTGACTTCACAAATAATTATACTGATCAGACTTAGATCAAATACAGCAGCTTATAAGATGTTTCCTTTTTAAAGAAACTTCCCATACCTTTAAAAAATTTTTTTTTAAAAAAAACAGTCCTAAATCAACTATTTATGATAAAAAATAATTATAAAAATATAATAATAAATTATTTTTATTTTATTATACCAGTAAAAAAAAGGTACCTATGTTTTTACAGGTAATAAATTTTTATAACTATTTTTTAATTATTTATATATCATAAAGGTTTTATTTAGGATTTTTTTCTAAAGAAAAACCAAGACCGGACGAGCACCTATGCCCATTTGTGCCACCAGTGTTATGCATTGCAAATTTTTGGACAAAAGAAGGACCAGAAGTCCACTGATTATAACTGAACCGGAACATGCTGACGATAAACAATAACAACTTTTTTTTGTAAAAAAACGAATATTTTTTTGTCAAAAACGAATTGAAATATATTCTCTATTGTATAAAACTAATTAAGAAAATAATCAATCGTAAAAATGCTAACATTTGCTCTCCCACGTGGAAGAAATAAAAGTATCTATCTATCATACTGAAGGGAAACAAGTGTGCACATTTCATTTTTCACTTTTTCTGCAGAAAAAGTCATTCGTTTTGACAGTTGCTAATTTCATTTAAATATCAGCTTTATAGTTTATTGTTACGTGGTACAAATTTATATGCAGGTATCAACTATGTTACACCCAAAATATCTATGTCGCCTGTCTATTGATCACAGATATACCGACAACACAGGATGCGCTATCTGTAGATCAGCACGTGGTAGGGATAATTATATGCATGGGCTGTTTTAGATTGCCGATCACCAAAACGTTGTAGTTTTAACTCCACGTTAGAATTGCGTTTTAAATATAAGACACAGTAGATCTAAATATAACTCGATCGCAGACAAATATGATAGAGCTATGCAATTTTTAACTTTTGCAAAATTTTCTGTTGATTGGTCACGATTTTTTGGGAAAAATTTAGGGGAATACTCTCAGTAGCTTTTCTTTGTATAAAACAAAAAAAAGGGGAAAAAATTTAAATCATAAAAGAAATTTTGTCTTAAAAACAAATTTTTTTTTCCCTTTTCTTGTTTAAAACCTAAAAAGTAAAAAGAAATCCTTTTTATAAAAAAAAAAGGGGGTTTACGAAGAAATTTAAAATAGCTTGATTTCCGTAATTTTCCCTCGTTGTTCCGCAGTATGACGAATCCCAATTGTCCGATTGCAGGGAAAACCTAACGGGTTTCCCGTTCCACAGGGCCCACAAGGCAAAAAAAAAAACTAGGGGTAGCCCCCTTCGCTTTGAGTGATTCGTTTTGGTCTCCCTTTTTATTTTATATGATACAATTGGGCCCAAACATGAAAAGGGGTTTTTCGAAAAATAAAGTCGATAAAAGTTTTTGTTCTGACATGTTTACATATGGATTTTTATATTTCTTGCCTTCATTAGTTGTTGAAATTTGTAGAAAATGATTAGCATTATAGGTGAATAAAGGGTACATACTTTGATATTTTATTACCATATTCTTTTATTACTGACTAGTGACACAAGCAGAACAATGTTGCACAGCAGTCATGTCACAGTACAAGACTTGTAAGTCTTGTTTGTATTGGAATTACTTTCTTTACTAGGAAGGCATAAGTGAAAGCATATTTTCATTCAATATCAGGTCCCTCTCTCATGGACAAGTGCATACATACGATCAGTTTGATTACGCAAATTTAAATGATTTACAAAACATCCGGACTTTGTACAAAAGTTTACAATAGTTATCTTAATAGAAAATGCCCTGTGCATAGGAACAATTTAGCAAGGTATATGTAATGAGAGCATTATTTGCGCGGAAAACTTTAATTGCTGCATTGCATCCACATTTGTACTTGTTGAAACTTAGGTTTTCATATTTATTGGTAGGCACTTCTGAAATTCCACGATATAAAACAAAGTGTATTGCAAGTAAAGAATCAAATGTAAAGTAAATGTAGACAGATTATTGACCATTATTCTTACGTATTCAAATGCTTTTTAAGTAATTTCCTGTCTCATTTATCATTGTCATCATTGTAATCATTCTCAAATTTCATGAACTATTATGTTTCAGTTAAATACGTGCATGTCATGTCATTTATTCATTATATGTTGTATTTCTATATGTTATTTGGTGATGAGCTTGAATTGCTTAAACCAAGTAATAAATATTTAGGTCAGCTGCTTATTATGATTTTTTCATATTTTGTCATATCGAATATTGACTTCAAAAATGAATGCCACTTTAAGCAAGGGAGGTAAATATCGTGGTTTATATTATTCAAGAATATACAGGAACATTTGAATTTTGAATTAATTACAATGTAAAATTCCTTTCTTTTCGATATTACTTTGCAACCTATATATTTACATGGAGGAACTTCCACTAAAAACGATAAAAGTAATTATCACCTGGTGGTTCAATGATAAAAGTAATTACACACCTGGTGGTTCGATGATAAAAGTAATTACACACCTGGTGGTTCGATGATAAAAGTAATTACACACCTGGTGGTTCGATGATAAAAGTAATTACACACCTGGTGGTTCGCTGATAAAAGTAATTACACACCTGATGGTTCAATGATTAAAGTAATTACACACCTGGTGGTTCAATATTGCTTGTGATACATACATCTTCACTTTCACCGCTGTAACAGATAAAGACAATCAAAGCATCAATTTTTTAAGTATTCAAATGTGCAAAAGCCTAGATTTACAGGAAGTGCATTGACGTGCAAAAAAGTCAATGTGTAAAAAATTACTTATTCAATTTTGCTGTGCAGAAATATTCGGATTGAAATAAATTCAGTTTGAATCAATATTGTCATTTAAAATACATCATTTTCAATTTTTAGACACAAATATGCAATACTAAAAAAGAGATTTTTTTCTACGAAAAATGCCTACATATAGTTACGATTAGGTTAGAAATGACGACTTTTTGCTTTTACAATTATAGTTCTTTTGCCCTTAACTTGTCTTAGTAAAATTGTAAAAAACAAGAACCAAAACCGATATATCTGACGAAAATATTATTTTCTTATACGCCAATTGCCATTTTTTTTGTGTGCGCTACTCATAATATTTGGCTAAGCCTGAATTAAAAATATTTATCGTACCCTACGAATACACTTATTGCACAAAAATGTGGAATTGCTCTTCTCATTACGCTTTGTAGAAAGATGCAGTTTTCATTTGCAGAATGTTTTTATATAATCTGCAATCAGTTACATCTTTATACATTTACAGTTTATATGTTAAACATTTAAATTATGATATCACATACCCGGAACTGAACTTAGCTGTAAGAAACAGTATGAATATTTGTTCCTATACCAAACTAGACATCTGGTGTACTGCAATTTTGTCTTGATCGCAATACACAAACAAATAGGGAGGATTTGGGAATCAATTGAAATATACACTAAAAATTGTAACCCTTTAATTCGTAAGAATATAGTTTGAACAAGAATATACAGGAACATTTGAATTAATTACAATGTAAAAATTTATGTAAAATTACCGACTCTTTCTTTTCGATATTACCTTGCAACCTATATTTTTACGAATGACTTCCACTTAAGACAATAAAATTAATTACACACCTGTTGTTAAACGATAAAAGTTATTACACACCCTGGTGAAAAAACAAGAAACGGTAAAAGACTTCCAGATCCCCACCGAACAGTAGAAAATTTATTAAAAAGTGTTTTTTCTTAAACTAGTTGCATAGACTGACAACAAGGTAATAACAATATAAGTGCATTGCTGGTATATGAGAGCCATGACCTTTCATGCTGATATCTTTTAAATATTTTTAGTTATAGACAAAACAAAAGAAAAAAATGCAAATTAAGCACTTAAACCAACAAAGGGCACTAATTACAAAATTGTGATGTAGAGAGTGTTGGCATTCTTTTCATTTGCATTCATTCGTATCGTGGTCAAGTATCAAATTAATATCTCTACAGCCTCATGAGTAATTGGCTGAACAAAGTAATAAGAAATGAAACAAAGAGTTTATCACTGAGAAAAATCTTGTATGACACTCACCCATTAACGTCCTTTGCTTTAAAGCATATACGTTCCTTTCCATGCATTGAATGTTCAAACGACAAGTCAGCTTTATACACTATCTGGCCTTTGTGAGTAAGAGATTGTATTGGGCCGATTTCATACTTGTCAATGAAACTGTCAGTTATATGTATCTCAGACACATCACTATCAAAATTAAATATTTAGCTATTTATTCATGCTCATGGATGTAAAGTTATGTTTTATTACTCTGAATGGAAATTATCTGGTATTGAGAGCATATCCAGGGATGACCCAGAAATACCCGGAATTAACTATAAATTTAAAAATAATTATTATGTGTTCATATAACAAACACTATAATAATGAGTAAAATTTCCTCTTTACAAGGAAACAAGAATACTATTTAACACATTATGCTCACCACATGCGTATTAAAGCAAGCATAGAATGCGTATAAGGCTTGATCTGAACGCTGTCACAACGTCATAAGCGTTGACGTCAAAAACATACAAAAATATTTTCAAATTATTTTCCGCTGTACGGAATAAATATCAATGCTTTATAAGCCATTGCGTTTATAATTATGTTCATATACCATATGGTGTCCTTTTGTCGGAAAAATCACGGATGTCATTCATAATAAGTGTGCTAACAATTCAAACCTATGACTGTGATTTAATTTAAGTGTGCGGCGGAGAGAGGGGTAAAATCATACGCATCTCAAAGTTGAATGAATTAAATATGTTACATTTCTTTATATCAATTAAACATTTTAATTGACGTTTTTTAAAACAAGAGGGCCATGATGGCCCTGAAGTCGCTCACCTGTATATAGGCCCCCGGAGCGGGGCCAGTTCAAACCCCAGGGCTTTTATTTGAACAAACTTGGTAAACACCCATTAGAAGATGTTTCATGCTAGACATCAAAGGTCTAGCTCGTTGGATTTTTAAAAGAAGTTTTTTCTTTACACATATATTTTAAAACAATGACATCCCTGGGGCAGGGCCAGTTTTGACCCAAGGACTTTTATTTGAACAATCTTTGTAGGCACTTACTAGAAGATGTTTCATGCTTAATTTTTTAACAAACTTGGTAGACATCTATTAGAACATGTTTCATGCTAAATATCTTAGCTCTTGCTCTTTGGGTTCTTTAAAAGAAGATTTTTTAGTTTTTACTATATGCATATAGGAAAAATCAATGACCCCCTGGGGCGGGGCTAATTTTGACCCAAGGGCTTTTATTTTAACAAACTTTGTAGACACCCATTGGAAGATATTTCATGTTAAATATCTTAGCTCTAGCTCTTTGGGTTCTTCAAAAGAAGATTTTTTAAAGTTTTTACTATATACATATAGGGAAAATCAATGAACCCCTGGGGCGGGGCCAATTTTGACCCCAGGGCTGTTATTTGAACAAATTTGGTAGACACACACTAGAGGATGTTTCATGCCAAATATCTAAGCTCTAGCTTAGAAGAAGATATTTAAAGTTTTTTTTTTCTTTTGGCCAGAGTTCTGCATGGAATGGAATTCTTTGAACAACTTTGTTAAGGCTTCACACAAGGAACATCCCTATTAAGTTTCATTATGATCTGCCTTACGGTTTCAGAGGAGATGTCGTTTTAAAAGTGTGAACGGACAACGGACAACGGACGACGGACGACAGACGACGGACGAAGAGTGATCCTAATAGCTCACCCTGAGCATATGCTCAGGTGAGCTAAAAAGCTTTTATCCATATAAATATATCCACTGAAAGATTTGGCTTGTTCTAGGGTAGCTTCGACAGTAGCGTGCACATTAAAGTACCGTCAATGAATAGGTTTAATCAAACCAAGCCTGCAGCGTTTTCAATTTCGCCGTTTGGACGTTCTTAAGGGATTCTGCTTTTTGTATTTGATAACAATGTTAACCAAGTATTTAAGCATACGTACACTCCAGATTTTATATATAAAGCCACAACACAAGTTGCGTGAATTTTGCATGCAACAAGCTGGTCAGGTGACGGGATGTCAATAAAATACGGCTTGTTCTGGAAATAATAAACATGAACTAATATCTTTACAGTGACATTATGGCAATACAAGGGTAAAAGGTAAGCGAACAGGTGAAAATCATAATAAGTTTTGCCATAAACCCTTTCAATTTACTTCACATAAACGATAAATAACCAGGCCCAATGCAATTTCTGTAGATATTCAAGCAAACATCGGAATCTACCTGTAACGTTCGGTTTATTAAAATACTGGGCAGTCTTTTATATTTTAGGCAGATTTATTTTTTTATCATAAACATTTTTCCAATATCAAATGTTGGTCAGTCACGATTTTAACAGTCAATCATTTAAACAGTCAACTCAGCTCAGTTTGATAATAAAACAATGAGCATTATGGCACGGTCAGTCCCTTTATTTGAAATGAGAAGACATAATGGCAAGTATAAATTTATTGAAATATAAGGAATTCAAATCAATCATTTCAAATTTGCTACATTCATTTACAGTAATATTAAAAACAAATTTAATATAAGTCATTAAGTCATTGCTTCATGTAAGTGCAAATATGAATTATCACTTGACAACTACGTCAACCTGTACGCTTTGGCTCGGTGTTTAAGTGCTTTGTGTTGTTTATTTGTAATTTAAGGGCATGAATTCGAAATCAAAGAGCGGGATTTTTTCCAGATGCATTCAGAATTTAACAATTATCTGGACTTCGTATAATAAGAACAGTATTTCTGACATGAAACATATAACTGTCATCAAAGAAGACGGAATTAAAAAGTCAACCTCTGACAGCTGCTTCAGTGATTTCAGTTCTTGTGCTTTATCACTCACATCATCGGTTCATTTGTGCATAAAGTGAGGGTGTGAGTTTGAATACAACACTGAGTGTTAACTTTCGGTCCGGAATTTTTGTGTTACACATTTGAAACTTCCGTAAGAAATAGTGGGTTTTTAGATATATGACTTACCGTAGAATATGACGATGAGTGGTTGAAAACATCAGCTGAAAAGTACATCAGAAATCTATATCCTTTAATAGAATAATGTGGATAAACATGTCATGGTTATTATATATGCATCGTTTCAATAAAACCGCTTTTTATTCACTAAAATCTATTTAAATGAGAAATCTTTGCAGAATTAAAAAACGACACAAAAAAAAATCAGTTATCACTAATATAATTGTAAGTTAAACTTTGATTATCCCATTTGATAGCAATTGCAAATTATATCAAAATTATTTACTCACGCCGAACATCTAACACGAAACATCTTTGTTCATCAGAATCAACGCTGAAGCATTTCAAACATTAATATATACCAAAAGATTAAATAAAGAAAAAACTAAAAGTAAAGTTAGACAATATATAGATCATATTATTATGCAAGATACATGTATGTTCACAAAAAAACGTAATGAAGAAGTTTATTGAAAAGACGTTACTTTTTTAAGAAAACAAAAACAAAACATGTCTAATTTTTACTCCTTTTCCTAAAAATAGATTTTCTAGTAAATTCACCGTTTTTCCCCTAAACTTATAAATTTTATGGAAATCCGTCAAAGTTAACAAGGATTTGTCTTGTACTAAACGTATCTAGGTATTGATTGTATAGGTATTTTACGAATTGATACAGTCTATGCGTTCTTTATAAAACTATATGAAGCAAAAATATAGAATACCATAGAAAATGAAAGAAAACTGAAGAGATTATATCAGGTGTACAGAAGCAAATTTGAAATTGCACATAAACATTATTTTTAAACGTCATGGTTTAAATAAAACGTATTTTTGTCTGTGAATAAGATGTGAGTCACATTTCGGCTTCAGGAAATATTTTCATAGTTTTTTACCAGCTATAATGTATTTGTAATGATATTCAATTATATTTCTTTAAATGTCCATTTTATTTCAGAAATTTTATTTCTAAAATAACAACACTTTTTATCTTTTATATCTTGAAAAAGATTCATAAATATTGCACATTTTGCGTCTTTTGCCCTGTTGACAATTTATACAATTGTAGTGAATAAGTATTTTGTATGGAAGAAAATAAATTACTACATTGTTTTCACATTGCTACTTTTGCGGCATATTTCCTCACGCCCTGTGCTACTTTGTTCAATAGTTATACACTTAACATGTTCTAAACATTATAAAAACAAATGTTTGACAATTTCAAATTCTTTAAAAAAAAGACATTTCAGGTATATAATTCATTTAAATGAACAATAAACATGAGTTAAGATATACTGTGGATTTGGTATGGATGTTTTAGACTCGGGGAAATGAAACGAGGCTAAAATGGACCAAATATTGATTGATATTAAAACAGAAAGATCTTCATATGCTTGTCTTTTACATTTTACACAAGGTTTGAACTAAGAAACGAGATTCTGTTCTATCTTACCCAGTAGAATCCATGACACTAACGCATGCTATATGTCTTCCTGCATCCGTAACTGATGGTTTCCATGACATTGTGGTAAACATTACTTGCGACCTACTGGGATCCTGTTGAGCATGTGATAACAGGAGGTTTTCTCCTTTTAGTCCAAAAATTGTAAACTCTCCTATAGTACTAAGAAAAAAGACAACTTTGTCATCATTTTTATTTTATTTATATTACTATCAATAATTAAAAAGTATACTTTAATAAGCATTAACTATTAGAGTTCATAAGTTCATTCCCTGAAATCATATCTTATAATAGAATCAAATGTAACGCTTTTTTAAAAACAACTTCATGGGAAAATATATTAGAACTATTTGGTGTGACAAAATTAAACTTCCTATTTTTCTGTGGTTATATATCATTAGTTGCCACTTTATCCTGCAAACAAAATAACAGAAATACATCGATGTCGTGCATTTAATCATCAATCAAGGATATGTGGAAATGCATAATTCAAAACATATTTCTTTGAGTGGTTATATGTTGATTCTGGTGTGATTTTTAGAAGGCGTAAATGGTTAGATAGTATGTATCTTGAGTCTAAGCGTCAGCACTGACAAAACCAAACAGTTATTTTCTTTTGAAGGAATTAGTTAAAACCAAGAGAATGGAGTATTTTCATGGAAGACATGTTGAAGTTGGTTATGAATATATTAGGATAGTTTTTAATTATACAGATACATTAATACAAATACGACACATTGTAAAGTCGTGTTTCATTTGATAATAGTGAGCTTTATGAAATATTTTCACATGGCTTCTTTAAATTCCATAATGACATTTAGCAGCACTTCGGGCTATATTACAAAAAAGTGAGTGCAATCTTTTGATGTGACATTGTCCTTTTGTCCTGATAATTTGGTCCTATGAAGCACAAATTGTCTCTTCTTGATGTTGTATTATGCACTAACATTTATTGAAAATAACTTTCATGCATGATGAATTTATGTACGAACACAATTCTTTACTGCACTAAGTCCTATTTGTGAAATACACGAAGTCCAATGCCTTGCCGTTGTCTTGACTAAGGGACCTGTGTATTGTCTCTGCCAGCCAGATACTTAACTATTAGTTGTTATACTCCGCATAATACTCACGTGTTTTCGGGAGCTTCAGCATATATTTTTGTTCTCAATTGCGTGCCCGAATACATGATGAAAACATGGTTTCCTGCATAACTTGGTTCTACAAATACTGGAGTTGTTAGATTATCTATAATCTGAACAACAAACTGAAACAAACATATGTGTCGCATCGCATAAGTATATTATAATAATGTTTAAGTCAAAAGGTAAAATTGCATTGAGTAGCAAACTGAAACTTGTTGAAATAACTGGTAGATATACACGCACGTATAATCATAAAAATAGTAATTGTAATCGCATGAATAAGAAATGCAATGTTATATATATTATTGTATTTTGTTTACTGAAGTATTAATCTTTATAGTATATTATCCTTTACTTATTATAGCAAATATACATGTGTATTCGCTCAGATACACAATTCAGCATAGTCCCAAAACACTTTGTTCATTCATTTAACAATTCAATTTTTTTCAGTCAATAGACAATAATTATTGGATTCATGGATTTAAGGAGTAATCAAATTAAAAAATTATATTATACCTGAACGGCAGTTGTGCTTAGGGAGTATCTTCCTGCAGTGTAATGTTCGGTCCCGTATATTATGTCCTTTCTATTATAATCACGGACGCTGACAGGAACGGCAATCCATGTATTATCCTCATACCCAATGGCTCGCGAAGCGTTGATGAAAACAGAGCAATTCTTGATGATGCAAATATATATAAAACAATTAAATGATTTGTTTTTGCTTTGTGGATTTTACCTTAAAAGTTTATACATTAATTATTTTGACAGATAGAATATACCATTATTTTGTTTCCAAATATAATCTTTTGATAAATGTTATTTTAAGATATGCCGGGCGCGAAAAAAAGTTAATAAAAGGAAATCAAAGAATACTTCAAATCTTTAGCAAATAAATATATAATTTCATAAGCATCAAATTTCGGTTCTGATCTTTTTCAATCATGTCATATGTTGTAAAGTTTTATTTGAAAATTTTAAATGTGTAAACTTGTTTGAAATAAACTAATCTTAATGTGACTACTAAGAATATACATTTTCGCTATTTATTTTTTTAATTCTTGCGCAGATTTTTAAGAATAACAACTGTCAGCTTATTGAAAAAAAACTATATTTATGCTTGTATAATCACTGCTATATGAAACATAATTTACCTCCATGATCTGTACGAGTGGAGGTGGATTTGTTGAGATCAATCCTCCCTCACTAAATTCTGAAATTTTACATTTAATGTAATCGCCATCACCATCAACTGCTGGAAGTCTGATTTCGGTAACCTTATCAAGTTTAACCCTTTAACATATAAAGGCATCATTTATTATAAAATCATATTAATATCATTATGTATGTATTACAGCTTATATCTATTATTCATAGATGATATGTCAATATTTGTAACAGTGACATCAAAAAGTGTTTAGTGCAGCAAATATATGATATACTGAAACAAACGTTGACATTTGCTGGTAAGATATTAACTTTAATCATAAATACTTGAACCGTCTGTCAAGTGTCCAAAAGTATGCTAAAACTGTAATTGCAAGAGAGAATTACAATAGCTTTATCGATTTAGTAGACAATTACCGGTAAGGTTGCCCTTACCATCAAAATGTAAGTGCCATTTGTTTGAGATTTCAATACCATATTACATATATAAGAATTATAAAGGTATGCTTAAGAAAGAAACTCTAAAGTTATTAATCATAGAAGGGTTGTCATCTTAACATCTGACATAATGACCTCAATTAAATCGTTAAGTCAACGTCCAGTCTTGGACAGTGTCCCTGCTAAGTGAAAACACTAAGCAGATCTCAGTGTTCAAATTAAATAACAACAACTACGGTTGGTACTTTTTTTAAGTCATTGATCGGGAAAGGTAGAAAAGGTGTACAAACGTACGTGGAAACGCATGTATGGGTCGACGTACGGACATTTTAATAACAGTATGTTCAAATATGTTCAGTGTGAGAGCATTATCACTTATATCGTTATGATAAACTGATTATTCGACCAGATTTTTTTATAAAACAATTTACGCATATAGCTTTTAACATGACGAAACTTGTGCCAGATATAAAATATGAAACATTTGTATGCTTTGCTGACATGTGTTACTTATCTGATGTAATTGTCACAAATTACAAAAGGTCTGACCTTATATGTCAAGTTGATTTGAGTTTAAATTAAATCATTTTATCAATGACTTACTTTGCTACAAGTGATATTGGAATGAATATGATATAAATAAAAACATAACCTGTAAAACGGTTTCGAAAGAGTCTTCGGACTTTGATTTGTTGTTTTTGTATCGCTCCTAACCCTTGAATATATTTTTGTTTGGAAATGCCACCTAATATTCTTTCCACTTGTCTGCACTAACGAAAGATGCCTCCAGGACAATCCCGAGAAACTGAAATTTCAATAACATAGACAGTAATTTAATAATTCTCTTATTATTCGGAAACAAAATAACACATACGATTTTAAATATCATTCATGGTACGAGTAATATTCAAAATGAATCATCTAAAGCGATTAAACAATGTAAATTGAATGTAAATTTCATAAGAAAATTTAAATAATTGATAATATACATGTATACTTACTTTTTTAAGCGTTTAACCGATACCACATTCATAAAAAGGTCCATGCTAAACATTACATTTATTTTGTATGAGTAGATTGTAAATTTTGTATAGGTAGAAGATCTGAACACGACGTTAAATACGGAGCTCTATAACGCGTGACTATTGTTTTTGGCATAAGTTGTAAAGATGATTTTTATGAAGAATGTTCTTATGATGAGCTTAATGAAATGTCGTTTTCAAGTTTCAAATATTGGCTTAAGAGATTTTCCTAAGAAGATGCACAACCTGATTGTCCACCGAAAACAGCAACCTCTAATTTGATAGATGATACTTCATAGAATGAAAGGTGTAATGTTTATATTAAAATAACTGTAAGACAAATAGCTAAATTAAATTTATTTTCATTACCAACACGCTTAGCTCAATGACTATTATCTGCTAATTTGTTTAGAGGTCATTGGTCTCACACCGCTAATTCAAAAATCAATTAGGATTAGTAGTAGGACACTTTTGGAGAAGCTAATAATTACAGGTTATTGATCCAGGGAAAACAGCGGCTGGATTTACAGTCGAGTTCTGACCAAAACTGAATTAGAATTGGCGTTAAAATCAGAAAATAAATTTAAAAAATTAAATTATAGACAAAAAAACTGAATTTGTGAAAAAATGCTATGCCACCACATTAATACAACACTAAAAAGTAGGAACAGAAGTAGATGTTTCTATACAATTGAACTTTGCCATAATGCATTAGTGTGTAGTGTATTTCGGGGTCAAGGTCATATTTCAGATGCAAGACAATGAGCAGAATTTAATATAAATACAAAGGGTAGGGAAAAATAAAAATTATGCTTACTGATTAAATTTTGTTATTTAAGGATCTGCTTTATACTTTTTAATCGCTCTATAAGAATGAATGCATAAATTTTAATGATTTCATATAATGTGGACAAATATTTTATACAGTACATATTTTACATATTCTTCGATGTTTGAAAATTGTTTAAGAAGCATAATTATATACATATTTAACATTTCACTTATGTATGGTTACAACTTTAAGGGCGGTAAATGTAAAAATTGCACCTTCCGTTCGTTTGTCTGTCTGTCTGAATGATCAGATATTTTGGGTTTATGTGAAAATGAAAGCAATAGTTAATAGTAAATTTTCTTTTATGCTATTCATTCCGTAAAGTTTTATTTGCCTTTTTTGTCTTATGTGGCTTTAAGAACAATACAATAATCACATACAATCAAAATGTGAGAACGTCCGTCCGTCTGTCCGTGGGTCCCCACTCACACAGCATACGTGCCCGGACTGTAACTTTGTCATGCATTTAGGAATTTTGAAAAAACTTGGCACAAATGTTAACCACATCAAAGTGATTCAAGTCGGAGAACTAAGTCTCTTTTCCAAAGGTCATGGTCACACTTGCAGTTTGAATGTTAACATTTTTACAACAAGAGTTTAAAGTTACTAACATGCGTGTCTGACTTTATCTTTGTCATGCATTGAAGGATTTTAAAATAATTGTCGAACACATAACGACGACGTGTCCCTTCTAAGACACATGGAACTACCTAAAAGGGAGAGGTCACACTTAGAGATTGGATATTTACCACTTACAAAACAATAGTGTCTGGACTGTTACTTTGTCATGCATAGAAGGACTCAAGATAACTCGGTACAAAATGATGATGTGGTGCTTCTATGACTCATGCCCCAATATAATAAGTCAATATTTCACAGTCTTAGGGTTCACAGTATCACAATCAGAGTCATAATATTCTCTGAAAAGCACATATCTCTCTTGATTGATGGCATGTGCTTTAGACAAACTCACAGAAATTCATTTTATGAAAAGTTGCATTTCATGTACACATGAATGAAAATATTCAAACTATTCAATTGTTTCCTTTTCAATATTCTTTAGCTGGAAATATATACCGATAGAATACACATTACCGATAGGGCGGCGCCATTTTTTTCCCTAGGGTTACAAGGGTTCATCATAGAGTCTCCCACTTGATCAACAGAGGAAAGCGTAGTGTCCAACTGTAAAAGCGTTGACACTTAGCATGCGATATGTCTTTAAAAGTAGGGTCATAACCTCTTTAAATAAAATGATTTTAGTAAAAACAACAGAACAATTACCATGGCCCACGATCTTACGAAGTTTGTAAATAACATTCCCGTAAAATCAGACTTGCTCATCGCTTTTCACAGAAGTGTTTTAACTCACTATTGAATTTTAAAATTAAATCAAGATTACGATTGTAATTTTGTTTCAATATTTCCGTAATTTATGATAGCGGTAGCCCTGTTTTAGAAGTTTGTTAGTAATGAAAATATTCCGCTCTCTGAAATCCTTTACGTTGCAACAAGCTCTAGTGAATCTAATTAACTGTGAAACATTCATATAAATGAACCAAACCAAAGGCTTATGAAATATTATTTCAAAGTAAGTGACTTAATTACTTTACTTATTGTAATACCAAATTAAGTATGTCATTAAAAATTTGGTGATTATGAACTATCCACATTTTTTTTAAACTTGCATAAATAAAATAATGATTTTCTCTGTAACGAAATATTTATATATTATAGATACGTGTACATGGTAACTAGCATCACATGTTTACGTTCCTTTTTGTATCATAATTTTATTTTTAACACGACTAACATGCACGTGATGGCTGCCCTGGCAGTCATAGATAGAGACGTTTTATAGCCCCAACACGTCACAAATTACACTTCTGTGGCAATAAAATAGAGAAAAACAGAATCATTAAAGAAAGCCAAAAACGACAAAATTGAAAATGTTACAGGCTTGGTTTGATTGAGGCTGATCATGGACGGTACTGTAAAGTGCAAGTTACCGTCCACGCCCCCATAGCACCGGCTTAAGTAGTATTCAACATTTAGCATGAACTGGTAAAAATTGGGATTTTAAAACATTCACAGATTTGTTCAAATGTCGGTTATCACGGACCCTTCAATGTGGAAGGTTCGGGCCATTCAAAGAAAAGCGGCATATGGTCTCCAAGTAGAAAGATGTTCCCAAAACTAAATGGCAATGGGCGAAACTATTAACGATGAAATTTGAAAGGGAATCAGAGGTTATGATGTCTGCATATCACAGACAAGACGTCAAAAAAAATTTAAAAGGCAGTTAACATAGCCTAAGGGTTGTTTATTATAAAGTTTCATGTAAAAAACTGAAACTGCCCAAGCTGTAAAAGACCAAATGAAAGAAAGTGAAAATACCACATAATGTGTAAACGCAAACAATATTGCCGTGCTGAATCTTCAAGGATCGAAAATATAATTAACATGCCTGCTTTAAAATATAACATAACATAAATTTATTGCATAAAACTCTTTTACAAAGTTTAAAGCAAGAAAGATATAATTGTGCCAAGTACATGAAAACTTGTTTTCAGAAAAGAAAAAACAAGTTTATTAAATTGACTTCACGAATACATAGCATTTTGCACATTTTAGCAAAGTTCAGTGTATTTATTCTAACATGTCAGCTTTTGTTTTCAAAATTAGAGTATACAGTATTATGGAGGTGTATGAACAAATTATGAAATTCTTATTCTATTGGCAATATATATATATTTCGATAAATTACAAATATATTTTTTGGATGTGGCATTCATTAATTGATCAAATTTATGTATAGATGGTCAATGACAAAAATACTGCCGAAAATATTTTGTTCTTATTTCGCGATATTTAGGACATACTAAAATAAAGTGTAAATCAGTCTCAACTTTTCTGATATAGGTCAGGGTTACGCATTGTAACACGGCCAGCGATTGGCTGAAAAAAAGTGCAGGGAAAACCGTATGAGTCAATTTATACATGAGGTGATTGGATGAATGTGGGGTATTTTTAAGTATAAAAACTAATTTAAAAAGTAACACTGCATTGTTTTCTGAAGAGAATGAAATATTTCATGAGTCTCTGTGATAATTTTGACTTGGATATTTGCATTTATAAAAAGTGTATGTCAGTCCTGTGATCAGCAGAAAATTTCAATGAAATGGGGGGTAATCCTCTTTGAAGTCATTTTGCAAAAAATTTGGTTGGCTACCCCTATATAACAGGAACATTTTTATGTGTCAGGCATTTCATTCTGCTAGAAAAATTACCTCTTTAGCATGAAAACTCAATTTTAAGGTAGGATCAGGGACCATTTCTTATAATGTAAGTCTATGGAAATATCAATGCGAGTGTCTGACCTAAAGAGAGGGAAATTGGAACTGTCATAATTCATTTGTTGTACTTTGTCTTCATTGATACGCCACGAAAAGCTGATATTTTGGAAGAATGGATGTATACAGCCTGTCTAGGTATAAAATTTCATTATTTCAATACAACTGTTGGTGTTTACAGCAGATAATGTGTCAAGGGGGTCAATCTACAAGCATTGTTTACATATGAAGAAGAGTATTATTGTTACTTAAAAGTTAATAATGGTTTGTGTTTTCTTTAAACAGTGAATTTGAGTGATAATTAATTGGTGATATGTTGATGATGAATAATGTTGACCTTGGTCATTAAAAATATTTTTCAGATTTCAAAGAAATGCTGTACATTGGATATACACATGCCAGGTTTGAAGACTTATGTATAACTTGACAGGACCTGATGTAAGCACATTGGCCACTTTTGATGGGTGTTGCAGGTATATCAATACAAATGCATATTGTCAGGTTCAAAACTAATAGATTAATACTAGAAATAGTCTAGGGTGCTGTTTCTGTTAACTTTTCGACTTATTTTAGGAGCGGACATTTCTTCGCTCGGCACAAATATTTTTCCATTTTGCTCATATAATAACATAGAATGTCACAAATAAATTGCTTCTATGTCTGTTTCCCATATAAGAATGTTTTGTGTTTCATTTACAGGCATAGATAGCATAAAACTTCAAATAAATAGCATTTTAAGGATTATGTCTTAAAATTTACTTGGTTTCAGGGCATAAATATCAATACATACTTAGAAATTGAAATCCATTGAAAAATGTAGCATAATTAAAGTTAGGTAGCCTCTGAATAGCCTCTTATTATGTATTTAAGATGCAAAATAGTGATTAGAATTTATTGTTTTCTATTTGGTAATACATATTTACACACTCACAATGTATAATGCCATAGTTTTTAGACTTTATGACTATTTAATGCATTATTGAATGAGCATCATAATGGCCAAGGGTAGAATTATTTTGTAGAAAAAGTTTTATTGATAAGTAATTGTTGATTTACTTTTTCACAATCATATTAGGCACAATTATAACACAGCTTTAGTGTCTCTGATGTGTCTATAAACAGAAAAGGCACTAATTCTGGTATATAAATGTACACAAAGGGTGTGATTATGCACAACTTCAGTGAATTACCTCCCTTTATTTATTGAGAAACTTATATAAGTGCATAAATTCTAGTTTCTGGCTACCTAATTGAGAAGAAAATACACAGTACTATCCATTCCAAGTACATTTTGGTCTGAAGAGGTGATTTACATGGTAAAACACCTGAAAGAAGGTTTCAATTGTCATATTTGGCTCCAATGAATGCAAAAATGGCAAAAAAAATGGGTGTAGAAGTCAGATTTTAGGCTGTTACTGTGCTGTTAAGTCCAGTGGAACTTGGTTTTTCCATATATTGCATTTTTTAATATCCATGTGAGAGAGAGACCAAATATATATAAAGAATTTTGGCATTTTATTGACATTTTGGCTTGTATTTAAGACTATATAAGCAAATATTTGGAGTAAAAAAATACAGCAGGGGCAGTTTTAAAATACCTAGTTACACCCAAAATGTTGCTATGTGTGTACAAATAATGTGTAATCCATAGTCAGGTCACTATACAGTAGTTATTAAGTATGTTTGCTAAGCTAAATCTTCATTCAGGAAGTCTATTGGTAATAAAATGTTGAAATTTGGGTGAAAAATCACTTATTTTGTTATGGGTGGGGTGACAAAATTGCTCCCTGCTACATCCTTTTGTTAGAAAAATTAGTTATTTGAAGCACTTCTGTAAATGAAAACAGTGTAGTTTTGCTATCTGAGTGATTTTATGGAAGTTGTTACAAAAATTGACTTCAGAATAATGAATTATTTATGAAAATCACATGCTAACATTCTTTTTCAGAATATCCGGAATGCAACATAGTGGTGCCTGTTAGAAAAAAGGGAACTTCAAAGCTTTAAATGACTTAAGAGTGGTGAAAATGCATCCATATAATTGGTAATTGTATATGCAACTTCATTTATTATTAGATATTAGAATACTAAACATTTAATATTCCCTTTAGGTCAGGGTAACGCATTGTAACACGGCCAGCGATTGGCTGAAAAAAAGTGCAGGGAAAACCGTATGAGTCAATTTATACATGAGGTGATTGGATGAATGTGGGGTATTTTTAAGTATAAAAACTAATTTAAAAAGTAACACTGCATTGTTTTCTGAAGAAAATGAAATATTTCATGAGTCTCTGTGATAATTTTGACTTGGATATTTGCATTTATAAAAAGTGTATGTCAGTCCTGTGATCAGCAGAAAATTTCAATGAAATGGGGGGTAATCCTCTTTGAAGTCATTTTGCAAAAAAATTTAGTTGGCTACCCCTATATAACAGGAACATTTTTATGTGTCAGGCATTTCATTCTGCTAGAAAAATTACCTCTTTAGCATGAAAACTCAATTTTAAGGTAGGATCAGGGACCATTTCTTATAATGTAAGTCTATGGAAATATCAATGCGAGTGTCTGACCTATAACATGATTTACAAAGCCGTTCTTCTCGAGCGATATACTCGTAGCGTCCGGTTTCTATGAATAAACTGTGCGACGATGTTCTTAGTCTTGATATTGAAACCCTATACTTGTTCTCTTTAATGCAATCTAAATAATGTTCTGTTTGAAATTATGTTTAAATATACAGTAAGATTGAAGTCGTGGCGAATTATTTATGTCTGAGTACCAGCGTTGATAATATGTATCTAATATGCGTTATTTTATCTACTAGAACGGTATATTATTCACATCCGTTTGTTGATTCCAGACATAGCTTAATCAATGTACATCTAAAATACTTTTCACTTGAGCAGCCCAGTTGTGGCCACGATACTCACGACCGCTATCAGCGTCAGCTTTTAAAAACATATAGGTCTGCTTTATTAATGAAGAGTCCGTTTCAATCCAATACATATATATGTATATATATTAAAAAAAACTATTTATATAAAAACAAAGTTGAGTATTCCTTTTAGGTTGACACAATCATCTCCGGCATTTATTTTGATACAATTACGAGAAAATGGCATAACTAAATGATTTGCCGCTGGTCTGACATCGGCATTTCTAAGCCTTATACCCTGGTAACAACCGAAATTAATGTTCTTTCAAAATCTCTAAATTGAGAATACGTCAAACATTGACATAGTAAAATAAGCACATCGAACAGTGGTGTTGCTTCGCTTTCCGTTAGTTCTGCCGTATATTTTTCCTGAATTGAGATCATGTGTCGCAAAATCTACCCATGTAGTGTAAAAATGGTTATAAATCGCATAGCGCGCTTGCAATTTTTTCTCAATAAAGTACTTTTCTATCTTATATTATTACGTTAATGTTCTGGACACTTCATATAAAGTTTACTAAATCTAATCCACCTGTGTCGAAGCAACAAGATTTTTTTTCGAGAAATTAAGAATAAGAAAGGCCAACACACTAATATTAAAATGTGGCAGGCTCTCTTTGATTTAGCCTGTTAAAGTCTACTTTATTTCGGATATTCCCTCACATGTAGATATGCACGATTAAACTATTTATTGTTTACCAATTTCATGCTATGACATCAGATACTTTATATCAACATAAATATTATTATAAATGTACTTACATGATATCCATTATTTGTAGGTCTTTCTCCATAATAACGCTGAAGTGCATTATTTCTTGTTCCCATTTTCCCTTTTCACTGACAGCGATTACAGTTTCATTGTATGTGGAATTTACTCTTGCATCCATAGGAATTAGTACCGTTGAAGCGTTTGATGTTTGTTCCTTTGAAAATTTACCAAGGTAGTATGGATTGTTTGAAACCATTTTTGGTCTAGTTAAACGAGTAGATCTTCCAATATCAGATTTAGTACAACCTGAGCCACAGGGGCCTTTCCCAAGCACCCAACCAGTTATAAGCTCAATGGTTACCTGGTTATTATAAAAAGTTTTCTGTATCATCAAACAATTCATGTTTTATTTAGTTTTTCTGACGGTTCTTACATTTTCAAATTAACCGTTTGAAAGAGATAAAGTATAAATAACTACACATAGTGTATACGTATTCAGGTTTCGGAACCATATATTTCCAAACCAGAATTGTTGTTGTTGTTAAATCTTTATTATCTGGCAAGAATGAAATAAAATTGCAATAACTAGTTACCAGTTGGTTTCCGTCAGGTTGTTTTTCCATAACATAGCTCATGGACCCGCCATAGAACTGCCCATAACACTCAACATGTTGATAAAGCATGCCTAGTAAGATGGTGTTAGCAAATACTAACATCATAGTTTTCATATCCTGAAAAAAAACCATTAACTACAATGTATAATAAAATATAAAATATAAAACATTAAAAGAACGTTTAAGAAATCACAAATTATCATTTCTAAAGTCATCTGACATCTAATCGTCCTATTTTTTTTCGAATCGAACTACTCATACGTACGATTTTATCATGGTTAAAATTAACTCTCACGTGAACATTTTATGGTACATACGAATAAAATACGAAAATAACGATCAACAGCGGAACATGTAAATTCAAGCCAGTCACAGGATAGTTTTGTCGACGTCGAATAGTAATTAGTATATTTTTAACGGATTTAACTCAATACAGGATTGGACCAGTACCTTTAGACGCTTGCAGAAAATAAACAAATACCCTTTTTTTTCGCCGATTTTTACATTTTTCATTTATTAACATACATAAATCGGTGTGAAAAGATGAATTAGACCTATTCAAGTTCATTCCGTTGGGTAAAAAGGCAAGGTTTTATCATTTTATAATTCAAGCGCCTTGCCCGGTATATACCGGAAAACGGTATTTAGTGTGGTGCTCCAATCCTTTTTTAAGTCTCACTCATTTTTAACACTTACATCGAATATCGAAATTTATTTTTCAAGTAAATTTCTAGCTAAATTAAAAATTTGTGTAAGCTTAACATTGAAAATTAAAAGAATTCGAAAGTTGAATTGCGAATTACAAATCGAATATTAATATTGCGTCATCTAAAATATTTATCAGTTTTCTTTGAAAAATGAAATTCTAACTCAGACGGATGAAATATTGAGCCAGCTCAAATTTGAAGATGAACAACGTGTGTAAATATTTTAATCTAACTTGTAGCAAAGCTGTGTTTCGAGTGAGTTTTGAAAACGGATTTCGTTTGCTGTTTTCTAATGGAATAGTGATAAAATAAATATTTTTATTAATAAATGAAATGAATTGAAAAAAAAAGATAATATAAGATAAAATTTTAAAAAAAAAATCATTTATAAAACACGCCGCTGAACATCGCATTTCAAAATCTCGTCATTATGATACGTTACAAAATACAAACTTTTGACTTCAAAATGTTGACGTATACATGTATTTTTATTGTTGTCATCGTAGAAAGTATGAATGGAATAACACATAAAACATGATTCTTGTGGTAAACATTTTCTCTCAATTATATCAAACATAAAACAGTTAAACAGTTAAAATATATGCACAATGCTGTTCGTATATAGTTTTAGAGTACAATTATCGTAAATATCACAACTAGGTTGAACTCTAAATACACCCCGATTTTATTACTTTTTATATTTTTACAAACTAGACCCATGCAAAAATACATATCGTGAAAACGATTTAAATAAAGAAGGCATACAGCCGTTTTGCCCTCATAATCTTGTCTTATTTCCAATTTATACTAGTATAAAAGCAATAGCTGTGTTAGCTGTATGTTGTAATTTAGTTTGTTACTACAATAATTGAAATTTTATATATGTATATGCTTCTAAAACAATTTTCATTCATTGAAGAATATGTAAAATTCATACTGCAAGTTTTGTTCACACTTTATGAAATCATTAAACTATATGCATTCATTTCTTATTAAAAACAGACTTAAACTTTACAGAAAATGAATTTATAATTACCTCACTTTATTAACGTGGAAATGTAAATTCGGTAATGTCTTTACAAATAATGCTTTTTGGAACTCACAATATTGATAAATCTTTTTTTGAGCATTTTTCTTATGATATAAAATTCTGGAAACAAAGTGATCCCTCGGAAGCACTAATCACAACAAAATCACATAAGAATTGCAGACTCGGTTTGATTGAGTCTGTACATATAAAACCATAAAAAATATTATTGTCTTTATTTCCTCCATAACTGAAGAGCAGTTACATAATATATATTACAGTGTACAAAGGATCATATATACAGTAAATATAAATACAAAATTTTTATGTATAATATAAATTAGTAAAGAAAAGGCATATTTATAATATGAAAAAACATTTATATATTTACTCATACTAAAAGATAACTATTGCAATTAATCTGTGATATCTATCAACAAATGTCAATTGAGTGAAAATATCATAATAAAAAAAGGGGAATAAGCTACTTAGTTGCATAGATATCAGGTTCATATGTATATATCATGAGCATCAGAAATGAGCTTGTTTAGTGTAACAAAATCACTTAGGCGAAGACAGAGGTAAAATGCAAATCATTTAAGTAGTTTAAAGTTACAATAATTTCATCTTTGAGGACAGACGATGAAAAATTTTGGGAAAAATAGATTTTATAAAACAGAGATGATTGCCAAATCACATTATGTAATTAGCCTTAACCGAAACGAAATTACCAAGGCGATTAAGATGTGTTTAAGCTGGGTCAGTTGTTTTATATATGAAAAAGGGCACTTACGCAAATTATCAATTATTGATTATCTAGGATGATCCATAACAAAATTCGGACCATAAATATTTTGACAACTAACAAAAGTGACGTTCCAAGGCTTCCATATGTCGCGCGCCAGTCCACTTTTGCACATTACGCAAACAAACGGGTATATAAACCTGATTTTTTTAATTTTTTTTTTTTTTTTTTTTTGGGGGGGGGGTTCTTTGAGTTGAGTTGATATAGTTTAAGTGTTTAATTTGCTTTTAGACTCTTGCTAGTATATAATTATGATGCATAATTTTATTTTAATTAATTTAATTATCATGCTTTCACTTGGACTTAATCTATACAAGCATAGAGTTCTAAATGAAAGACATTTTAAGCTAAATGAAAGACATTTTAAGCGAAATGAAAGACATTTTAAGCGAAACGTGTTTAAATAGTTTCTGTTTTAACAGTTATTTGGGTAATTTTCATTTTAGAGTCTCCCATTACAAGTTCAAACTGCTATGAAAATATGAAAAATGCTTCAATACTGATGAAACTTGGCACTGTTTTACAGTCAAAACACATTACATTTACAAGTCTTGTTTGTATTCAATGGAATTATTCCTTACCAGGTAGGCATCAGTAAAAGCATATATATATTTTTTAATTATATATCTGGCCCCTCTCTTATGGACAGTACATGTATACGATAAGTATAATGATGCAAAAAAAAAGATTTACAAAACATTCCGAAAAATGTTCAAGAGTACTTAATCTGAATATAACATGACCTGTGCGTAGGAATGATTTGCTAAGGTATCTGTAATGAGCGCATTTTTTTGCGCGGAGCTTCTCAATTCTGCATTGCAGCAACATTTGTACTGATATTCATCTACAAAATAAGTCACTGGGAAAAGGTCTTTAAAGAATAAATTTTTAATGCTAATCTAAAATAATAAAAGTCAATGCCTCATGGTTTTCGTTCTTTCCGAAATATTTATAAAAAAAATAACCTTCACTGGTTCTTTGAAATATTTTTATACGGTATAATGAAAAAGAATCAGTAAGTATTGACAGAATGCATTCTGTAATTGTTCTATTTAACCTTGAAAAACAATCATTAAAAGACATTGGTAATCTTATTTTGAAGTTTGTCACAAATACGCCGGATTTTTCTAAATGACAGAAAATAGGACAGAAAACTAGAGCCATACAAGAGCCATTCTAATTAATTTTCATCAAAAACTAGACGCGATATATGATCACCCGGTAGGTGACATTTAATTTATCTCGAGAAATTAAACATGATACTTTATTTGTAAATTATGTTTTATGTAAATCTTTTAAAGAAATCTATTTTCAATGAAATATATGTTTATATAGAGCTTTTACGACGCGGTCCGTTGCTATGAAAAATCGACCGGAATTAGAATTTTCTCGCGCATTCGCAATTTGCGTAGGGCAAAACATGCATCGCCCTACATAGAAATAAAGTAAAAGTTCATAGACAATTCCGAGTTAGTTCAAGGTAAACGGTAGAAAAAATAGCTTTTAATAAATATGTGTGTGAATAATTTTAGCTGTGTCAATTGGAAAAACTTTGATATTAAAATATAAATAAGCAATAACTAAACATGGTTTTGTAAAAAAAAAAACACTCATCTTTTGAAATGTTTTAAATTTGATTTTACTAGACACTGAACAATATTAAGTTGTTTGAAAGTAGAAAAAATGTTTACATACGCTTAGGCAGGTAAACACAATAAGAAGAGGCTGCATAATTCCGCTTTCTTAACAGTAGCTATCAGTTGTCCAAACAATGGATAACTGCCTGTAGCTTGCGTTATCTGAAACTTGTGTCAGGATCTTATCTTTACACTTATTATGGAAACATCTAAATAAAGACGTTCAACGTGACATTGATGATAAGACTTACTGCAAATTGTCGACGTTTAACTATCTGTTACATTAAGATTATTTAATATTTTAATTCATTTATTCGTCTTTTATGACACTTGTTTATATCTTATTCAATTTATTCAATACATGAATACGTATGCTTAAAACGTGAAATGTTGAATTACATCTCTACAATATTAAAACAGTAAAATAGGCTTACATATATTTTAGCATACATGCGTTCTTTATCCAATATTTTAAAACATTATACATGTTTCAATTATCATCATCAGCAGCAGCAGCAGCAGTAGCAGTAGCAGCAGCAGTAGCAGTAGTATAGCAGACTAGCAGTAGCAGTAGCAGACTAGCAGTAGCAGTAGCAGAAGCAGACTAGCAGTAGCAGTAGCAGTAGCAGTAGCAGTAGTAGTAGCAGTAGTAGTAGCAGTAGCAGACTAGCAGTAGCAGTAGTATCAGTAGTAGCAGTAGCAGTAGCAGTAGTAGTAGTAGAATTATTATTAATATCATTATCAACATCAACATCATCATCATTATTATTTATCATTATTTAAATTACTATCATTATTATTTTCATTATTATTATTATTATTATTATTAAGAACCTATTATGTGCAAATGTGTTTAAAATAATACAACGTTGCAGCAATGTATTCAGCACAAACATAGCCAAATTATAATAATGTTTCGGCTAAGATGACCCAAAATAATTCAAGTGGTCAACAAACCGACCACAGATTAAAATACAGAAAAATGTTTTGTAGGATTTATTTGTGTAAGCATGCTTAAATAATGTCAGAATTCAAGAAATTTACGTTGGTCTCTCGATTCGAATTTTTAAATTGTCCAATCTGCACAATTATGAGACAATATAGAAATGATACTGTCGTGTAAGGGTCCGAGGAGATATATGACTAGATGCATGATCCAGTTCCAAGCAAGCGAAGCACAAACAATATTTAAGAAACTTAACTACTTGTAGTATGGACCGAAATAAAATTACCTATCTGCCTTCCCGCGAATAATCCTCAATTTTGAAAATTCTATACTGTTACCTGCAAATGCAATACTGTAATGACCGTCCTACTTGTGAGTACCCAAATATAATGAAAAATGTTGAAAATAATATCGTTATTACGATAATCAAAGTGGATAGGTCATCAATGGGCAAAATGTTAGTATACATTTTCTATCTGCTACACTCATATCATGTAATATCGGATCATGTATTTAATACTTGCCAACCAATGTCATGTTTGATAATTTCTTGATTATTATTTTTGTAAATCATATATTTAAACTTTTCAAATGTGTCAAGTTACCTAAAGAAGATGCCCAACCGGAGAATGGGGCATTTTTTAAGGACTTGGAACAAATATCTACACCCAAGATTTAATTCAACCAATTTAGCACATTAAAGCCGTATGTTCAACGCAATAACAAAAATGTGAGAATTTAAGAGAAAAATATCACACATCACAATCATACTGTCATCAACGTTGCGCTTCATCATCATACTGGCGGCATTAACATACTGTCGATCTTCATCATCATACTGGCGGCATTAACATACTGTCGCGCTCCACAATCATACTGGCATAACCATACTGTCGCGCTTCAAAATCATACTGGCATTAACATACTGTCGCGCTCCACAATCATACTGGCATTAACATACTGTCGCGCTTCAAAATCATACTGGCATTAACATACTGTCGCGCTTCACAATCATACTGGCATTAACTTACTGTCGCGCTCCACAATCATACTGGCATTAACACACTGTCGCGCTTCAAAATCATACTGGCATTAACATACTGTCGCGCTTCAAAATAATACTGGTGGCATTAACATACTGTCGATCTTCATCATCATTATGACATTAACATACTGTCGCGCTCCACAATCATACTGGCATAACCATACTGTCGCGCTTCAAAATCATACTGGCATTAACATACTGTCGCGTTTCAAAATCATACTGGCATTAACATACTGTCGCGCTTCAAAATCATACTGGCATTAACATACTGTCGCGCTCCACAATCATACTGGCATTAACATACTGTCGCGCTTCAAAATCATACTGGCATTAACATACTGTCGCGCTTCAAAATCGTACTGGCATTAACATACTGTCGCGCTCCACAATCATACTGGCATTAACATACTGTCGCGCTTCAAAATCATACTGGCATTAACATACTGTCGCGCTTCAAAAATCATACTGGCATTAACATACTGTCGCACTTCAAAATCATACTGGCATTAACATACTGTCGCGCTTCAAAAATCATACTGGCATTAACATACTGTCGCGCTTTACAATCATACTGGCGGCATTAACATACTGTCGCGCTCCACAATCATACTGGCATTAACATACTGTCGCGCTCCACAATCATACTGGCATTAACATACTGTCGCGCTCCACAATCATACTGGCATTAACATACTGTCGCGCTTCAAAATCATACTGGCATTAACATACTGTCGCGCTTCAAAATCATACTGGCATTAACATACTGTCGCGCTTCAAAATCATACTGGCATTAACATACTGTCGCGCTTTACAATCATTCTGGCATTAACATACTGTCGCGCTTCACAATCACTTTAACAACATTGTTTTGTCTCACTTCACAATCATAATGTCACCATATAATAAGAAAGATATTTATGCTACTATTACTCTTACCATTTAGCTCTAAAATGATTCTTACAGAACTAATACCTCGTCGTAGTGGTATAATATATAAAATCATATTATATATTACATAATATAATCATACTGTATTATAATATCATATTTACTCTATTATAATTTTACCTGCTTCTGATCTTCAAAGTACTTTAAGTTTTTATCCTATTTTCACTCTAATCCATCTTGACCTGGAAACAAGTTAACCACACCCGACATTTTGCCTAAATTTTGACATGACCACAACTGACATTTTAAATTTTATTTGAGCAATGGTACGAAACACCTGCAACAACTGGAACAAGCTCTGCACCAAGAAAGGCAAAGTTTACCTCAAAATCGCATTAGATGCCTTACTGGAAGTATGAGGAGAAGGGTTGAGACTGTCATCCCGGCACGTGGCGATAACACACATGATTAACAATTTGGCTACATAATGTCATTTAAGGTTATGTAATAATCTTCAACATTTACCAAAAATATCCACTAGTAAATGTTTTGTAAATGTTCCAACTCCATACTTATAAACACTCACATTTTTGGTAAAAAAACAACACATTTGCTTATGCTTTAATAATTTGGTTCAGAATAAACTAAACTCATAACATTACTGGTTTATAATTACTAAGTTGGTATCGCTACTTATCAAATTACTATTTCTTAGCTCAGTTAAGTCATCATCTCATGAAAGTGCTTTCAATCACAACCAATTTTTATTTGTTTGGGTCGTCAGACCAAACAAATAATGGTAGCGAAATTTCAGAGTCCAATGTTGTTAATTGCAAATGCCGAAAGTAGTCCACTATTTTGGAGCGGTTACTTCCCTTTTGTATGTACACTAAAGCCGAAAAATTCAGGGGAGATCACTGCGTAAAAATGGTCAAAGACAGGCGCATCAATTTTCAAGCAAAGTAATTCCCGAATGGTCAAAGATTTCTAATATTGTTTTATTGTATTTTCTGATCGAAAATAACTAAATACAAAGCGGACATTCAATCTCTGACACAGAAGTTTACTACAAACCTAACAACAAGTAATTCTCAAAACAGCTTAAAACTAGCGATTTAAAAGAAAGAAATATTTTATTTTGTTACAAGTATCCAACAAATTACAACGCATTTAAAGTTAAACAATAGCGTTGGCTTATAGAATTGTCAATAAATGCACAATCACAAATTACGCGGATGAATATGATTTTATCAATGAAAATACTATTTTTAGCCATGTTGATTACCGAATACTACACAAACCGAGTAGTGGAATATATAGATTCTACATGCCGGACCGTTTGGGCGAGAGGATTTTCGCTAAAATATTTACTTCAATTATAAACAACAGGTTTACCCTGAACAAAATACCACGAAATTAATAAGGATTACAAACCCGAACTGCAATGGAAGTTCTAAATTTAGAATGACTTGATATTATTCAGCCATACTGTGTATAACTTCTCCGTGGTACAGTGGTAACGCGCTCTCTTGTGTGAGAGGTCTCGAGTTCGAATCCCAGTCGAGGAAACTTTTTTTTTTTTGTTAAATTCTTTTTTTTAAGTGTTTTTGTTAAGGAAGTAGCCATGATATACAAAGATAAAGTGTGGCTGTCGTAAAAAAAAGAACATAAATGATTTTTTGATGCAACTCTAGTTCTGCAGAATTCCGTATGTATCAAACTCTGGTGCCTTACAAAAGGAATTATAATACATAAAAATAAACTTATACAGGAAAATGCATACAGATATACAGTACGATTTAGATTGCAAAGATCAGAAAATACCACAGAACTTGCAGCCGTTTGATTCTTTATAAATATACATGCTTATAGTAAGCTCCAGGATTATTTACATCTGTGTTAAACAACAGTTAAAGTCGTTACAAGCCCTAATTTAGAATAATATGGTTTTCTTCAGGCCGTTCACATATAAATTCACCGTGGCTGAAGGGTTTTCGGGCTCGCTAAGGAAGCGAGAGGTCTGGAGTTCAAATCCCAGTAAAGGTTACTCATTTTTTTAAATTGTTAAAGTCAAATAAACATTGGATTGAATATCAGTGTTGCAATTAGTCTAACAGCCAATTTACTACAATTAAAACGCTGGAAAGCATTGGTGGCACTAAACATATAATCTCACAACCTGCACCTTTCTTACATTCTGAGACCCAAACAAATTCAGCGCCTTCTGTGCTTTGATTAAATTACCGGGCTGTACTTAACTTATTTCCAGGTGTATATGTAAATCTACCATATTTTATGGGATAATTTCAGTAACCTTCCACCCAATCCCCAAATATGCATGTAGATAAATGTGGACACATTGCACTTGAGAGCAGCTGATGCAAGTATCTGCATGCTGTATGAGCAATGAAATAATAACAATTTGTTAAATGCCATTATATATAATATCATTAGTCTTCAGTGGAGATATTTGAAGTTACATGTCAAGTGTAAATAGAACTAAAACAGTTATCATTAACACCAGTTTGCTATCACATCTAAATATAAATGAGATACTGTTCAAAACGTTGCTTAATATTATGTACATGTACATAATACAGAATAATCTTTTCCGTTCAGATGTTAAAAAAGACAAGAACATTTGAATTACAGTGTATAAATAGTTTTTTTATTTAAATGAAGACATATAATAAACGTTCTTCTTTATGTTTCACATTACATATAAAACATTACATTTCAATTAACCATAAAAAATACAAACAACCCTTGATACAAAATGAAGTTTATGTTGAACAATAAAAACATAATTCAAACAAACATTGACTTAGGAAAACGTTATTCTTTATGTTTCATATTATATATAAAACATTTCATGTCAAATATAAACGACCTCTGATACAAAATGAAGTTTATGCTGAACAAAAACATAATTCAACCAAAAATTGACATATTAAGTACACGTAATTCTTTATGTTTCAAATCATATGTAAAACATTTCATTTCAGATAACCAAAAAAAATACAACCACTGATACAAAATGACGTTAATGTATAAAACAACAAAAAAACAAAATTAAAACAAAAATTGTAGATTGTCCCAAAATATTGCATCAAATACTGTATGAAGTTTTTCCATAACTCACAACTAGAAAGAGGGGGACAATCTTTTACATTCATAAAAGTGATTTACTCTTTAACCCTTAAACTGCTCAGTTTGTGTAATGTATATGTCCCCTTGAAATATGGAATAGTAATTTCTAAGTTTAAGGGTTTTCAATTTCAAAATACCAAAACTGAGCTACCAGAAGTACAGAGACTGTCGCCCGTGCTGTTAAAAGCTAATAACTATCCGTTACAGCAGAGTAAGAGTTAAGAATTTTGACGTTCTTTAAGTTAAACAATACAAAATAAAAAATCCAATAATAATAACCAGGCACATATTTAATAAGCATATTAACATCATTTATTATCACAACAACAACAGAACATTGTTACATTTAAATTCAATTGGACGGCCAAACTTGTTTAATGAAGTTACTTTTCACATTATTTTACAATTAATATTTAAAACATAACACATACTTATTGGCTAACATGCGTAATTAGTGTGTATTACAACTGCATGTGTCTCTGATAATGGCGATTGTTGACATATGAGATAAAAGCGTCGAGTAATTCATTTCCAAGAGCGCCTTTATCTCTTAAAGGGAACTTTTTATTCGATTGAAATATTTAGTTAGTGTTTGGGGGAAAGTCGTAAAAATGAAAAAGCTCATGTCAGTTTTATGTTTTTAGCATGTATATGAAAACATCATTTAAAATAGTCAGGATGAGAAAATGGATTGAGGGTAAAAAATATTTGTGGTAAAACTGAAAGAGGGGAAACAGTTTACCCGAGAAAATCAATTGGGGTAAAATAGATTCGGTGAGGAAACGGAATTGTGTGGAAACGGAATTGAGGACAGCCTAGGTGAAGAGGAATATCACATAGTGTGGTTCAAAAGAGAAAGTATGCCATGATGCCAACATTCAAACGATACATTTTCAAAAAATTAAATAAAGGCAAGGTAACGTATTTACATATAGCTTTCATAGATAACAAATAATTTACATATATGATCATTATGAGAATACAAATTCAATCTCATCACTTAATTAAAATTCCTAATTTCACAACTTTTCTAAATAGATAGACTTGTTTCAAATGATAACGACATCAATATTTACATAATCAACATTATATTAGTACTATATGTACTATATTTAACCAACATATGAAAAAGTACATTAAAAACAAGTATTCATGTACGTCCGTGACATCTGCATTTTTCTTATAATATGTTTATTTTACAATGTCTCTTAAGCACTTTCAGTGTTTCAAATGTTTCCCGATTTCTTCAATAATGTTCTCCATTCTAATTCCTGTTAGATTTCCGCTATTACTACTTTTGACATCTTTATAGGCATTTATCAATTTACTTCTGAAATATAAATAACATAACGGTTTACACACAGGCAATAATGCAGGGTATATATATCTAACCCAAGAAGATAAAACAATAATGCAGGGTATATATATCCAACCCAAGAAGATAAAACAATAATGCAGGTATATATATCCAACCCAAGAAGATAAAACAAATCAAGGGAAACTTAATCAAAATGTGAGACATATTTGAAACAATTTGCTCATTAATTTATCGCATTGCAATACTAGTATATTTTTTCCGTTCCTTTGGCATATCTAAATGCATGTAGATCTAGTGTCAAAGTCGACAATGAGGAAGCGTAAGATCGTAATTTTCACATGTGTAGCCCCCTTCATAACCAGTCAGTGATTTTATTTAACTGATTTCTAGGGATCTCCACTTCCCATATTTCACAATACTAGTATTTGTCAAGTTTGAAATGGCAAATTGTTTATATAGTTTTACATTGCAGCCAATCTGTTAATGAAAAATTTCATTGTCATTTATCAGTAAAGTGAAATAATCCACTTCTTTCAAGGTGGAGATAGTGGAAGTAATTAAATTTTTTACTTGGTATAGTATCATTGGTTATACATGTAATTTCAATAGAAAATTTTCCAACATTCGTCTTTATGTTAGCTTTGACAAACTTGCAACGATTTTCCAACCAGTTCACCAATTTGTTATTTAAAACTGCAAGATGGAGAATTATTACAAACTGTCAAGAAAGTCAGAATGAATTGAATAAATATCCTATTAGCATAACCTTCTTAATCCTACTTTAGATATTTTGTAAGCTTCCCCCCAACTTTATTTGGCTTCATATAATTCGATAATCGCTGTAACTGCAACGCTGTTTGTTAGTGCGTTTCAAATGACATATGGTTTCTCCTTTCAGCCCAACAGCAATACAAGATATTAGTAAGAACTATATCGCCAACGAGAGATTACGTAAATTTCCAAGGAACTTTTTGCGTTGATTATTCCAAACACAAATGACTGTTTTCAAGAAAACAACTTAAAATCAACAAGTTGAAATAAAGTAAATTCCTTATTCAAGAATTACGCTATCACACGTTAACACAGACCAACAAATTAATACATATGAATATTCTCAAATGCAACATGTAATGTGAACAATTTGAATCCGTTTTCTTACATAACTTCTTACCGGGATACATGGGGATATCTTTCTTGGCATTTTTTTATTAGTAGTTCTTCAAACCTCTCCTGTTTTGAAGTGTATGCCGAAGATAAACGAGGAGCAGATATATGTGCCTTGATGTTTTGATTTTCTTTTTTGACGCTACGAGACTTTTTCTTTACCTAAGAATAAAAGATACGCTATTCATTAAAATATTTCAATTAGTTTCTTATACTAGACAAAACTTCTAACTCATTTAATAAATTGTTTTTATTTATGACCGAATTCAAAACAAACTTTCCAAAAATGCTATACAGCATGTAATCAAAACGACAACGTGTGAATCAGATAAAGTATAACATTGTGTTCAATTTATCGTTGTAAAGTTGAGAAGTATTAGATATGTATTTCGAAAGATTGACCCCTTTAATGGTGATTGACCAATAACTGAAAGTGAAAGCTAAAAAAGTATTACAAAGGTAATGGTTAAAAGATTAAAACTGCCTAAAATATTAAAAGACTATCCCATCCATTTTGTCCACTCTAACTGATAAATTCTTAGGGATATTTATTGAAAAATTTCGGTAAAACACGTAAATTAGAGAAGATTCATTAGAATTGGAAACAAATATGGTAACACGTAAATTTACATTGACGTTTACGTGAGATGGGGATAATGTCACTTTAATCAATTACTCATTATAATTTAGCTGTTTTAACCTTGAGCCCATTCAGAATTTGCACTATGAGCGGTTAATTAAAACCGATCAATTCAATTCATTGTTATTTTATAGCATTGACAAATAATTGTGTGTCTCCAAGTTCCTGCAAATGATTTGAAAACCGTGCATAGGAATTTGAAATTAAAACAACGCTTCTGTTAAAATGAAGATGCTGACATTTCTGTACACTTAATTTATTTCAGATTTGCAACTTAATCTTAATATTCCAACATGATTATTGTTGCCCGTCCTTAGGAACATATGTATTTCTTCAACCAAAATCTTTGACCAGCCCTGTCTGCCGACATCCCCGATTCAGTATCTCTAAGACATGTTTGATAGAGCCATGCAACAGCCCGTAAACGTGATACCTATGCATAATTTCATAGGTACGATTTGGAATAAAATACTGTTCATCACAAATATTGAATACAAAGGGCATTTTGCCATGTATATTTCGCTCAGAAATACATTGCCTAGTATATTTCTATCAGAAATATCCTGTTTCTTTTTATCATAAATTTGATATCATTTCGATCTTCTTATATTAGTATCACAAGTATTGAAAAAGTCAACTCGATTTCGACTTTTTATTACTGTGTTTGTAAATTTTGTAAATTTGGAATAGCCCGTTTGAACAATGATGTGATAATTATTTGAACATTGATCAGGTAATAATTTCGAAAATTTATATCGTCATGTAACATAAAAACTAATATACATACAGCAGTTTACGCACTATATGTAAATATAAATATATACATACATAATCTCTTTCTATTTATCTTCTGAAGTAAGGTAAGCATTCAATTTTAAAAAAGATTAAATATTTTCCAATATAACAATACTCACGGTAGTCCATTCTTTATCGATCTCATCTATGTCTTGGACATCTTCCGTAAATACATTTCCTTCACAGGTTTTTGTTCTAGTCATGTTGATTGTTGAGCTCTGACCTGATTAAAGTACGAGACAAGGTAATTAAAACTGACTTTTTTTAATAGATTTAAACACGACAATGCACAATAATGAGTTTAAATAGTGATATATTAGGCGTATGATATCTGTTTACAGTCCTACCAGGTACCAATCTGGTCTATTTGAGTTAAAAAAAAGTCAATATTTTGAAACGTTTTATAAGTTTCTTTTTTTTTATCAAAATAAGATGATTCCGAATTGTCGGTCAAGATTGACTTTTACTTGGTGGGTCCAAAGTGAAAGAAGGTCAATTTTCGTATAATAATAAAAGACAATACTAAATTATAACAATAACAATATGCTTGATTTCTGAGGACCAAGTTAAATCTTTCATGGTTTTATGCACATTTCATGAAAGGCAAAATACAGTTTAAATCATGTTGTAAGTGCTAAGAAATGCGATTTTCTCTGCAACAAACATAAATATCTTAAATCATAGACTTGGAAGTGTAATTGCAAATTGTTCATCATTTTACATTGTGAGTTTTGTCTATATATAAAAACGGGCCTACTTGCGGAATCGCATTAAATGTACTCGTGATGAATTGTTTGACTTGATCAAAAGTCGAGTAATGAACAAATGTTAGTTACCTGAAGCACTAATGGAGCTTCCAGCAATGTTTGACCAAGGAGTAGCTGGTGAATCATTTCCAACGGCTGCAAACGATTTCTTTTCTAAACAAATTCACATTTTTAAAAGTCAATATACCATTATTACACATCATAATATAGTTTAATACCTATTCATTTAAGAAAACTTAGTTTTTGCTATTAAATTTTCCCATAATCATACTTTATAAAATATTATACTAACTAGAAAAAATAAAATATCTCACATTAGCAACATCAACATTATTCATGTAAAAAGTTATGACTATAGGATACCAAATAAAATCTTTATTTCTAGATGTATATAGACCTTTTTGATCGTTTCCAGTATCAGGTTTGTGTTTTGACTCAAAAGACTCTGTTTTGAAAACACCAAGCGGCCCTTTTTCATCAGGAATACATGTCTTCATATTTTTCCGATCCCTGTTTAACTGAGAAGAATCATGATCCGCAGCCGTTGCCTCCTTAAATGTTGACCGAGTTCCGGTCGGTGCAACTGCCTGGCTTCTGATTCCTCGACCTCTGCCACGGCCAAAACCATCTGTCCTAAGTGATGAGTTCTTACTGTTACTTTGTCCGTCACCATCATCCATAGAGAAAGTTTTCTAAAAATCATGTAAATATAATTGATAGGTATATTATGACAGATTAAACTAGTACCCAGTATTAAAGTTTTGTAAACTGTGAGCTATGATTAATGAAGTGGTTAAACATTATCTGAAATCAAATGACTGGCACTTATCTAAGTTATCGACAGTATTGAAGTCAAATACTGGCAAGTAATTAATACTGCTATTCTTATTTATCCTTTTCTGCTTTATATAATACACGTTATTAGCAACTATAATTCAAAACAGTTAAATGCATAAAAAATAAATCATGAAGTAATTCAAAAACAATATGATTGACACACAATAGAACGATTCATTTATTTTTTACCTTTGTTACTTGACTTTCGGATTTAGAGTAGGCAGCCTTTTTGTGGTGTCCTATGTATGAAACAAAATAGGTGGTTTAGCAACATATAAAGAGGTAATCTTCAAGTTGTTATAATAAATCATTTACACATAAAAGAAAAAGGCCACTTCAATATTTGTAGAGTTTATATTATGTATATTATTTAATGCAGCTAACGTCGATGCCAGAGCGTAAGAGCTGAGGTACTTTCAATTATCTCTTATCATTAGATTCAGGTACGAGTCGGTTACACATAAACTATTCATTTTGTTTCAGCACTTTATTTCCAGAATAATTATAATAGTACAGTGTAACGAAATTCTCTTTTGCTGATGTTCCAGACAATAGTATATGTAAATTATATTGAAACAAAGTTTACATCAATTACTATACTACATATACGTATAATAAACATACAAAAAAATCGAAAGGATACTGTTAATTTCTAGTAATAAATCTTAAAAATATTATTATTTAAAATCAGTTTAAAGAGAGTCGTAAAACCCATACTTGTCAATTCAACTAAAATAAAACGTTTTTTTATGTTTAATTATATTTTCATATGGCAATTATCTTCTGTACTATATTAAAGTTACGACATAGATAGAAAAGAAGAAATTAAGACAAAGCACTCAAGAATGTACAATATAATGTCAACCAATATGGAAATGACTGCAGGAAATAATCAAAGCAAAGTGTTAACAAGCTCACTTCATCAGCCGTATAATTCACATCACTTAATTGATGATATTTAGCATTAATAACTGTAAATCTCTGACTTTGAAGATTTGAAAACAATGTTAGTTTGGTATCTTATCTAAAATTGACAAATTACCATGTAAAATATGAATGTGTGTACAAATTTGGTTTCTATGGCAATTTAAATGGTGTCAGTTTTTCTAAAATATCTAATACATACTAAAATATATCCTTTCCTGATGCAAGAAAAATATCATTGAGTTTTTCTAAACAAATACTTAAATGATGAGCATGTGTGTAGGGCTTTGGTTTAGGTAATCATGCTGTACAATAAAGCAGGGCAATAATGCATGAAGGGAATCAGTAACATTTCACACTCATTTTAATTATGTACAGTTGATTGCTTATGGAGTTTTATACATCAGTCATAAATGCTAATATACCAAACGGCAGTATCTACTGAAAAACGCTTTGAATTAAAATGACATTTAATAAGCTTCATACTCGTAAAATATGCAACATTTTATCAGAACTTAACGACTGTCTTCATTAACGAAATAAAAATACTATAACTCAATAACGACGCACGAATTTTGATGACATTCTATGCCAAGAAATTATCACCAGCCTGTACTCTGATCAATATAGACAAACTCTTTTTAAAGCGATTAGTCAGCCAGATATTATTGTTATTACATGGTATCTTAAGATAATCTATAAACACACCCGTTTCAAGGTCAAACAAATCTAACACACGCCAACAGTTACAGACATTTTGTTCATAACATGCCCATTGAATTATAAATGCTAGTCACTAAAACACTAAAAAACTACCAGATATATTTTTCAACTAGCGTGAAACACTTTACTCTTGATATCATTGTAGTCATTCACAATTGAAAAGTACAGATGCTTACATGGTTTAAAAATTAACAGATAATTAGTATATTAGTCAATTAAAGATGAATAAAGTAAGTCGACCAGCAATTCCAAATAAAAAACATCACACACGTGATTAATAACCATCCTTAAAGAAATAGTTCCTGTTGAGACCGCTAATGTAATAATGATCATTTATTACAGGTAAGCAAAGTTCAAGATCAAGCAATTTGGAAGAGGATGAAGCAAGACAACATTTTTTCCTATTATAAGCACATTTCACTATACCTTCTGATTTGCATGCAGCGTTTTCCCGAATATGCTCAGTATCAGTGGACCAATTTAGAGAGATCTGTTCATCTTTCATAAGTATCAACAAGAGAATAATTGTAACATTGTTATGAAAAAAGTTAACTTCTTGTAAGAATTAAAACGGGTTAATTTCAAGACATTAATTTCAAAAATCTACATATTCATAACAAGGCAAAACATGCATTATGTATTTTAACAAATGTTTCGTTTCATATGAAATATATATACTTTCAACCTGTATCATTTACCTCTGGAGCTAGGGCGTTGTTCTTTTGGTAAGGTGCTCAGATTTCTTAAGTTGGTATCTTGACGTGCAAGTTCATCATTGTTATCATAATTTTGAAACCAATTTTCTTGTGTATTCTCCGGTGATCTCTGCGAATTTTGTCTTTTGAAATATTTATCTGATAAAAACCACAAATAACACAGAAAATTATAAATTTAATCATAACTTCATCATTTCAATAACAAAAACAAGAGAACATCGATCAGGATTAAGAGGTTGATGAAAGTAGCACAATTAAAGAGTTGATGAGGATCATTTAAATGAGACTGAAGGATATTTTTGTTTTATCAGTAATTTTCGGATTTTTATGTATGGTAGTGTAACGTAGAAATACTGGCATATCACTTGCCTTACTAGCCTCGATGACAAGGTGTAAGGCTTTCAGTTAGGATTAAATTGAAAACTGTAGGTTTTTTATGTTTTCATGTATAAATTTTATTTTATTTTGCAAAACTTGTGTGTTATGCGAACATACTGAAATTAATAAAATGAAAAGGTAAAATTGGTTATCAAAATTATAAAATAAAAATACTAGAAACACGATTTGTAAACTCATGTTTATGAAAACTACCAAAAAATTGTTTGTACAAGATACGAACTTGCAATTATTTGGTCACTATTCTAGGCCAAAGAGCAGTTTTAATAGATTAAGTAACAATACCTTTATAATTAAAATCGTAGTTGTAAATCATAATAAATGACTGAAATTATCGAAAAACCTTCTGAAAATTAATAAGTCTCAGGTCAATATTGTAAAACAATAAATATGTACTCCTACAGGAAAAATTGCAACACCATAACAATAGCAGTAGGTACGATATAGCGTTCTCGACTTTTTCAGTGCTTGATACCAAAACAAGAGCAGCTGAGCTTGGATAATATTGAGTTTTCTGAATTCATATAGAATCATAATTCTTTCAATACTTCTAAAGAAAACAACCTGCACGCAATACTTAGCCGAAGTGTGACGCCGACGCCTGGTTGAGTAAAATTGCTCTCCCTATTTTTCGAAAAGTCTAGCTAAAAAGGCTTTTACATAATTTGGTCAGCTTCGAAACATTCTGAGTTTGTATTTCATTGAAACTCATAGAATTGTGTGTTGTTTGTAATGTCATGAATATACGTGAGTTTTCACTCAAGAGGATAGGGCGTTCAAAGAGGAACCTGTAATTATACGGTTGGCACACAATAAAATAGAAATAAGGGTTCAATGAAGAACAAAACAGCTCTCCCTGTAAGATTCTCATTTCTTGTGCTATCGGTTATTCCAAGCGAAATACATATATGTGCCATAGCAATAAATGTCACAATGTTTTAGAACATCAAATATACCTATAATTATATTGTTGGCATACAATAAAATAAAAATCAGGGTTCAATGAAGAACACAACAGTTCTCGCAATAAGATTCTCATTTCTTGTGCGCATGCGTAACGGTTAGCGTGTTTAAGTGAGTCATGCCCGTCAACGTGTTACAGGTCAAATGAAGTTATTAGTATGAAGTTAAATAATGATATGAATGATTGAAAAAAAGACGATATGGGAAAAATATAGTGAGACAAAATGTCCCTGTGACAGCAATACTATGTAAGTGTATAAATCAGTGTTAAGTATAACTTTATCAAGTCAATTAAAAACTACATGTATATACGGAAATAAAAAAAGTGTGATTACCAATCTGGTCATTTTATCATTTATAATTTAAAAAAAAAATACAATTAACAATTCAAAATTACCAACCATGCTTCCTAACATCAAGAGCGACTGGATCCATCCACGAAAACGCAAGAACAAACGTCACAGCTCGGTTTTTGAGGGGTTCATAATATTCGTTGGTGCGTATCTTGAATGTGTAATTTCTTTTGTTAAAGCAAACCTTAAATATCAAAACACAAACTACCGATAATCTTTTATGATCTACTAGGAAAAAAGCAATCATGAAAGTATTGTTAAGCAATCTAAGGGCAGGCCAAAGGAATGAGACCTTTTGACCCCTCTGATATCTCCCAGTAACAGACTAAAATGACAGTTTAATAAGACAGACAGCCGGACGAACGGACATAGCCATACAATATAATACGTCCCGGATGTCTTCTACTTTTTCACGTCGATAATTACACATTTTGTCATTCCTCAGCTGTTAGTCAACTTAACCAATTTTTCTGGATAATTAACCAGAAATTACCAATTTCTTCTAAGTGACTGAATACTTATCCCACATGATTCATAACCTGCAGTTAGAGCCAAATGACCATCAAACTCAATGTCTGTAATTCATAGTCCATGTGAATGTTTGCTCGCCCGAGGATCGAACAAGTTTCCCCTAAATAACAAATTCAATGCTCTCCCTATTGCGCAAACATGAGGACAACTCCATAGGTACGGAAAAAATGGAAACGTTAATAGAGAATATTGATTGAAATTTAATATAATATGCGTGCATGCGTGCGTTAAAGAAAATCAAATGCCAATAAGGCTCATTTAAGAGACAATTGAGAAGAAATATATCAAACAGGATAATAACATTATGTCAGAATTAAAAGGAACGAAAGTATTGTTTGATACAAATGATCAAACATGAATAGTATTTAATGAATTACTTTATTTACCTCTGTGGATATTCGCCTACCATTTGAGTCAACAGTCCCATTTAAACGCGCAAGACGCTCTTCAAATATTGGATGTTGCCAGTGATTGTCAGCCTTCACTTCTTTTCTTGTTCGTCCTTGCTTTGACATTGCTTCTCTCCATAAATGTCGAAGCCACTCTAAATCTACAATATCGTTTCCATGTGACCCATTTCCAATTGCAAAAAATATTTTTGGTTTTTCTTTGAAAAGTTGTTCTCTGTTTCTAATATGATTGTTTATCATGTAGGTCTCCTCCCATTCTTTAAGGAGAACACTATACGTTTCTGGATGTGACAAGCCTTCTATTCCCAACTCAGATCGTCCTGGTAGAATCCAATGCAAAAGCGCATAATAAAGATAAGCTTCTACATATTTCCTATCTTTTGCGTTCTTGTTTCGCTGTATCTTCCATAAATCAGTACTATAATTGAGCAAGCGTCTATATAAACTCAAACTGGCATTTATCTCCTCTGTGGACAATCTTATAATATTGTACCCTAAATAAACTAACAAATCCCTCTCTTGTTCTGTAAAGTCTTTTTTCTCTAAGCGTCTTTCTGCCTCTTTTACTCGCTTTTCAAACTTTCCACGACTTTCTTTATCTGTGTGAGCTTTCATCAGAAGTTTTAATCCTACTCCAAATAGAAATTCGAACTGGGACGTGTGTTCCTTACTCCCATAGAACATTTCAAACTTTTCCCTTGGCCTTAATAAAAGAGTATCACCCGAAGGTGTAAAGACAGTTGTCAAATGGCGAGCCATATAGGCTCTTTCCTCAAGAGTACGAAGTGACATTTCTAAGTGATGCTGAATTTCACTTTTTTTCTTAAAAGTTTCAAGAGTGGGCGCCAATGCAACAATTTCTTTGTAAGGTGATGTTTCCAAGCAAATGTTATCCTCGTTCAAGAACTTCCAAAATGACTCTTTATCTTTATAACATTCAAACTTGTGAAAATGTTCCAGTAAGCTCAAAGCTGTCATCACTTCCATATAAAAACTGTTTGAGTTGAAGGCAGCATTTTCTTCGTATTGTGTGGATGCTTCTTGTGCAAGTTGAAATTTTTCCACAGCCTTTGAAGCTAAATTTATGCATTCTGCAGCTTCACAATTTGCCATTTTCTTCCCAACTAAATTTGAAAATGACTGCTCCATTTTGGTCTTGAAAATCTGTCCGTATGTATCAAGAAGGTAGGAGTTATGAGGAAGTTGTAACAAGCATTGTTTTATGGTGTCTTCTGCAGATGTATAGTCTTTTAAAACGATGTAGTAGTATCTTGCCAGTTGTTGTCCGACCATTGCGTTTCTACAAACATTAAAACATCTGCTAATAACGTCAATTACTCTGCGTTGTGCTTTTTCATCAGTGTCATTTTCTTCTTTTTCTTCGAGGCTTAAAATTAGTGGAGAAAACTTCTGGACTTTTTTCTCACCCTTTTCGTCAGTAACAGACTCTCTTGAGGTAAACAAACTGCAAACTATCTTTACAAAATGCTTTGACATTGGATTTGTTTCGCAAGCATGATTCTCGGTAACATTGAGAAGATCAACTACCATGTCTCGAAACGTTTTCACTTATCAACGTGCATGATGTATTCTAGAACAGCTTTTGAGAGTAGTTGCGACAGTAAACATACACCATAAATGGACGAGTATCACTTTTGATTTCTCGAATGAGTAAAAGCAACTGCATTGCATTTGTTATTCTGATGTTCCATGTTTCCCCTATCTATTGCTTGAAGTTTCTGTCTCTGCTTTCGATGTATACAATACCAAATGGTTTGTCCCGACACTGTTCTAGAGTTTAAACGTGTCTGGATCGTACACGTATCGTTCATAACAGAATCAAAAATCGATTCTGGTTACTGGATTGATCACTATCAAAAACAGCAAATAACTGATAATAATCCAAGAAGTACTTGCTTTTCTTTGTCATTTATGTCCTTAAATAGTCTTTGTGTTTGTGTCCTTGATATATTTATTGTACAAACGAATGTCTCATTACGTTAAAATGCAATAAGTGTTTTAATTTTCATGTTGTTATTTGATTCAAGTTCTTTAAATTTTTTCATCAAACCATAACTGCTCTCGTTTGTAGGTTGTGTCGTATCAACATCTCTAGATGCATGTGAGACAGGAACTCGTGTCACAATAAGCAACAAACAAATAGTTTACCTGGTGAACTTTTTTGTATGCTATTTCATTCAACCTTTGCCTTCAGTAAAATTTATATCCTCTTCATTTTTGTTATCAACTAAGACTAACACAGGTTTAGGCATCAGATAAACGCTTCTCTTTGAACTCCTGAAATCGATATATTTCTTCCTGCGGTATCTTCAGTAATCTTATGTACAATACAACATCTAAATGCTCTTTCTGGATTCCGACGTATCGGCTAAACTGCCAGAGTAGATGTTTGCCAACAGTACTGCCACCAGCCCCAGGATTATGCTCGACGTAATGTGTGGTAAATCTATCTTGCCCCTTTTGATGAGATCTTGGAATTAATTTCTCTTTATGGTAGTTCAAATAAATCACGTGTTGCGATTGTATGCATAATAGAAGTTCCATATTGTAACAGCGTTTCCTTCTATAGAAGTTCTCTTTTCTTTCAGTTCGCTTTCGTTTACAGTTTTCATCAGATTTTCCTCTTCCATAAGACTACAGTGCTCTTTCAGCAAAACCATCAACCAATTCAATATCCTTTAAATTAATTGCATCCATTTTCCGCACGTGTCCATTTATACTGCCTTGCCACTACTGTCTGGAAATTTAAACAAAACATCTTTATTTGGTTTAAAGACATTTTTAACTGTTGCAGCTACTTCTTCCCAGCTCAAACCAGATACTAATTTACTGTCAAAATCTTTTTTACTGATCTTGCCTTCATTTTCCTTCCTCCATTTCTGTAACATTTCATCATTGTCTGTTATCACAATGCACTCGCCTTTAAATGACGTTAAAAATGTTTCTCGGGCAAGTTCCAGCAACGGATCACATTCAATTGGCTTTTGAAAAACAAGATATATGACTAAGCCTCTACCCAATGGAATTTGTTGCCTTATTTTGTGCAGTGCATTTTTTACACCTGGCAATCTATTGCCATACCATAACTCAGATGTCATGCTACCTTTTTTAAGTTCTTCATTTCCATTGAGTAAAGCCATATATTACTTTCACTACTTATATCACTTTCTCTACGTGATCTTTTGTGTACTGAAATCTTCTTAGCCATTTTCACATTGAAACCGTGTTCCGTTTTCAATACCATTACGCAAATTCAACTGATGAGTCAAAGTCAAAACAGCCAGGGCAGAAGTAAATGCCATGGCCATGCTAGAGATATTTTCCCGTAGAAATTCCGCATTTTGGCAACCCGATATGTCTCCTGAACAAATAATGGGAATAAACGCATCCGTAACATATTTGTTTCCACCAGTGAGCAATTTCATTAGTTTCTTTTGTTCTTCTATATTTCTTGTTTCATTTGATGACTTTATATCTTTCATCTCTAAGTAAACCCTCTCTTGGTACAAGGTTTTTAAATCTTGTTGCATGCCGTCTATTTTTGATTCTTCAATAGTACTTATCATGGTGTCTTCTATAACAAAACATTTGCGCCATTGAAATCCTTTAGGTGGATAATTAATCTGCATAGAACAGTCATCCATATATCCTGAAAACGGTACAATATCGATTTCAAAGACAACTAGGTCATCTTCGACAGGTATTTTTTGCACTGGGCGTATACATCTTTGGGCAACTAGTTGATGCTTTTGGTCAAATGAAATTTTGATTCCAGACAATATGGCATCATCTAACGACCTAACATTTTTACAGCAATCTTTTGGTACCCCAACAATTTCACCACTCCTGTTACCAGCCTCTTTAATTCCAAAATGTATCGTTCCGTTTTTCTTCCCATTTATACAAGCTGAAGCAAATCTTATAACTTCCTTTACAATGTAGGCAGGATGATAATGTTTTTGTAATACTGGACTAACAAACAAGTGAGCAGGTGTTAATAAATTTCCAGGAGACGGTTCAACTTTACTTTTTGTAAAAATTTATACCATCGGGCCACCCTGAATCAAATTTTACGCAAAAATTCGTCTTTTTTTTAGCTGGGGAATCTACGAAATTTGACTTTTCGATTTTTGTATGTTGTTAAACAATTTCTTTCCCAAAAGGGAAAATTTTTAAACCCAAGCCTTTTTAAAATTTTCCCCCTAAACACCTGTTCAATTTGGTCATCTGTTAGGCTTGCAAATATTTCAGCTGAAATACATTCTTCGGATGCAGATTTTTCAAAGTAGAGCCCGATTCCTTGTTTTACCTTTTCCATCTTTGAAGCTAAGTATTTACCAAACACGTCACACGGCATGTCTGATATTATTTCTTCTGTGTCTAAAAATAATTAATTGAAATGAATTTTTTTGGAAAAAAGTATCGGTTTATTAAAAAATCATCGGCTTTGTGAATAACACCATTTTTAAAAGCATATTCTTTCGTTACATATACAAATATTGTGAGGAGAAAAAAAGTTTGACAGATTTTATGACGACGAAATCGGTTAAACCTGAAAAAAAGAAGAGCAGCCTAGCGGTGGCAAACTGGTCTTTTTCTTATTTCCTTAGTCAAACAAATCATCGGAGGAAGAATATTGTAGAAAAGAAAACTCCTACAAAACATTTTCTTGTACAAAATATAACTCAATTTTTTTACATTGATATACAAAGTCGTTCAAGGGACAACATCATATCAGAATAATTCAACATACCGGTTGTCATACGTGTTCTTTTTTCAACCATTAATAAATAACAAAGTTATGATAATCTATGGAAATTTTAATAATTTGACCTTGATGGTCAAAGTCAAATAAAAAATGGTCAAGGTTACATTTGTATAATTTAATGATAATTCATAAATATATTTGTGCAAGTATCAATTCATAATAAATATTTATCACCGCCTCCGTGGTCGAGGGGTTAGAGTCGATGACTTCTAATCCAGTTACCTCTCTGGCGTGGGTTCGATCCCGGGGAGATGCTTTGGTAGTTTAGCGCGGAGGAAGGTAGTCTAGTACTTGTGTCACTCTACAGGAACAATGGTTAGGAAACTACCCGCCTATATGACTGAAATACTGTTGGAAAAAGGCGTAAAATGAAACAAACAAACATATAACAAAGTTTAGGCCAATTGTAGCCATATTCACTAATATGATCTGTCAAGGTCAAATTGAGGACAAGATAAAGTTCAATTAAGTCTTCTTTAATGTCATGGTTTCTTCTGCCCAAATGTGAACATAATCTGTTTATAACTTTAAGTAGTTTTCTTAAAAATGATTGCATTCCATTTATAAATAACAAAACAGCCAATTTGGGCAAAAAATCAAGCCAAAATCCAATTATTCTAAAAAATTGATGAGTGAAAATCATTATCTAATTGAAAACCATATAATTGATCTACTGAAAGGTATTGTCCGAAGAATTGATGTAACCAAGACTTTATAAAGACAATCCAAATATGAATTACAAGGTAACTATCAATTATGGCAAACATCAAGCAATTTTTTTTAATGACATTGAAGGTTATGGCCATTTTTGAGTCAGTTTCTTCTTGATTACTTAAAGATCTTGTTAAAAGGGTTGTTGTGTAAAATTATATGGACAATCTATTCAGAAATAAATAAAAATAATAATAATAATGGCCAATATGAAAGAGTTTGGCCAGCATCGGAATCGGACAACTTGACTGTAGAAATAGCTCGATTTTTTCTTCGAAAATATCAAGCTTAAAATGGGAATCAATATTATGGAAATTATCAGCTCTATTTAAATGCATCAGTTTTGTAAATAAAGCCGTCTGAAAGTCTTTTTATAATAACAAAAATTATTTAAGTTAGAATTCGAATAAATTATGTAATTGTGTATATCTTACCTTCATTTACTTTACTGTCACTTAAAAGATCACCGCTATCCTTCCATTTAATTCCATGAAACCTGCAAAAGAACATTTAATTACAAAAAAACAGTGACATTTCATTTCATAAACAATGAGTTTATGTCAGCAGAAACATGCCATAGTATTATCTTAACTATGAATTAATGTTTGACAATAATTTATTTCCTTATCTCGGTTTTCAGTTTTTACAAATATAAATATGAAGCATAGCATTAATGAATACAAACCTACTGTCTTTTTCCTCAAAACTAACCCCAGGAAAGCATTCTTTCATGCTTTCTTGAACAGTGGAAAACTTGGTGGTGTATTTGCATTTTTCTTCGCAAAGTATATGGATATCCTCACAGGCGATGCTACTTGTTTCCTCTTCATCAACCAATTCTTTAAGAATGTCACAAAGTCTGGTGCTCTCAATTGCATGTAATTTTGAATCTGTCAATTAAGAAACAATGCCATAAACTACTACAAACACATGATCATTTCTGTGAAATAGTTGTAAAATCCGACTTCAAATAACTAAGTTATGGGCCGGACACGATTTTGCTGCAAGATCATGCTGTGACCTTGACCTTCAAGGTAGCAACCTAAATGTCGCGCGTGACACCTAGTCTCAATATGGTGATCATTTCCGTGAAATAGTTGTAAAATCTGACTTCAAATAACAAAGTTATGGGCCGGACACGATTTTGCTGCAAGGTCACGCTGTGACCTTGACCTTCAAGATAGCGACCCAAATGTTGCGTGCGACACGTCGTCTCAATATGGTGATCATTTCTGTGAAATAGTTGTAAAATCCAACTTCAAATAACAAAGTTATGGGCCGGACACGAAGTCGGGACGTACGTACGGAAGGACTGACGGATGGACGACGGAAGTGCCAACAATTGGGGTTAATGTGCTTTTTCTTTGATCTTTATGTGGCATTTTTCCCATAAACCAGTAAAATGTCCACATATGGGATTTCCTTCTTTTTTAACTAAAATCATGGACGGAATGAAGCTCATAGACCATTGGATGTTCGCCCGGACGGACGGACTGACAACCCGACGACTATATGCTCCCCCGAAATTTTTTGGGGAGCATAAAAACTCTCTAAAGAGGAACAAGTAATATTGTAAACTACAAACAAAGCAGATATAAAATCTAACCCTTAAACTGATGTCACAAAGTTCATATTTGTTTCTGAAATAGTACATGTTTAAAATCATTATTGGTTGGAACACAACAGTTAAACAAAATGTGTACATTATATAAGGAAAATCAATGATCCCACCCCCTCCCCCACCTCCGGGGAAGGGCCAAATTTGACCCCAGAGTTTTTATTTGAGCAAACTTGGTAGACTCTTACTAGAAGATGTTTTTTTACAATATACATGTACATAGTATAAGGAAAATCAATAACCCCCTAGAAAGGGCCAATTTTCACCCCAGGGCTATATCTAAGTTCTAGCAAAGACGGGCAAATTGACCTCAGAACAATCATGATCAATATTCTTTCTGGTGCAGGGCAAATTTTGACGCCAGGAAAACCACACACACTCATCCACCTGAAGACTGGGCTTTTGGTAACTCTAGTACCATAATTTCAACAACCTGATAGAAGTTCTGTAAGAAGAAGTTCTAAGGGAAACATCTAGGGTCTACCACTTGGTCCTGCAAGAAGATTTTTGAAGGTATTACTATATACATATCCGGAAAACCCATGACTTCCATACTAAGACGTATAATTTGAACAATATCCGTAGAGGAACTCTAAAACTAAAGCTATGGGCTTGTACTTTCAGACAAGAAGACTTGAAATTTGCATTTTTAACCCCATTTTGGCTCTGTGATATACTTATTATGCAACCGACCTGAACCTTTAAAGATGTACTATGCTCAAATTTGATATCAGGAAATATTGATAATTGCTACACAGTCTCTTTGTAAAAGGTGAAATAAACATGTTTTGACTTCACACAAAGTGAATATGTCATATTTAAAACTCTACACACATTAGTCGACACAATATGAATATATAGTGTCGTTAAAAAAACTGGCAACTTTACTTGTCCTATATTAGAGAACGTGACTTCCAATATAGTTTATCATTCATTTTTTATTTAAATTAGACATGTACAGTAAGAATTTCATAGGTTATATTAAATTTCTTCGATTAAAATATTTTACTCAAAGATAAGCGTAGTATAACAACTACTAGTATCAAAGAGAATCGCTAAATGATGAGTTAAATGGTGTCAGTTAGTGTCAGAAGAGATGATTTAAGAAATTGTTGACCACGAATAACGCACATCGACGTAAGCTTTCCTATAAAACTTCTACAACATATTTGTATTTTGTACAAAAAAAGCCGTACCTATATCCTTTTCATACGATGTCTTATGTTGCACAAGGTCTGCAAGTAGACTATTGGTCTTTCTTAGGCAGATGCATAGTTTCATTAAATTTTCTTTTTTCTCTGTCATCATATGAAGAACAAACTGATGCATTTTTTCTTCGTTGTTATATGTTAGTTCTATAAGGTTTCTTATCTTGTCAATGTTGACACCCTCATCTTTCAGCTGTTGTAGAAGTACATCAATATCTATAAACTTCGATAGCTGCCGCACATACCGTGTTAATCCAAATTTTATCCATGTCTCATCATTGCAATCAGCTGTAAAATAGATTCTCACCTTAGATTATACCGACAACTTAAGTTATAATAATCATATGTATGTGTTTGTTTGTATCCAATAATTATGTTGTGTTTTTTTTTCTATCATAACTAATTAAGATTTCTTTCAGAAGGATATCTAAGATGACTTAAAACCTAAATTGTGAAATCAATAATTTACACACGCTGATAATGCATCTCATTTAAAATTGAGATACATAGTTTCAATTTTCTACACAAATAGAAATTCATGCCAGGCACTTACGCATTTAGAATAAAATACAAATAACAAGCATTTAATAAAAAATAGTAGATCTTATTGAAATAACATAATGATGTTAATTATAACGTTATCTCCCCTTTTTCATTATACAAATTCTCTTTACAATATTCTCCTCTCTAATATTTTCTTACATCTTTCTTCATTCCTTTAAACTTTATCATAAGCGCATTTATCACTTCAAAACATTAAAGATTTGATCAATTTACGTACCACCAATATTCGCAGTGTTTTCGCATAATATAACAAAGGCCTACACATTTTCCAAATATCAAGAGGCTAAGGCCTATTCCCAAATAAATAAGAAAAAACACTTGGTCTCTGCTGAAACAATTAAGTTTTTTGTTAATCTTTTCACAGTTAAAGTTGTAATTAAATTTGTAACTCATTTATAAGTAATTTTTTTTAAGAAAATACAGCATTTTGTCTATTTTTATCAATTTCATACCTTGTTCATTTTTTCCGGTTTCAACTAACTTCATCATTAACGACTCGTTGTTTAAAAGTATGATGTCCATGCTGCATCTTGTCCTAACTAGTTCTCTGTTCTTCAATTCCTCTATTCTTTTTCTCATTTCATTTTCAAACTCACAACTGATATCTTTTGCCATGGCAATAATAACCTGACTGGCTTGAATAAATGGTATATCGTCGTCAAGCATTGCTTTAGGTCTATGCGCCAACTCATTTCTCTTCTTTCGCATCGTGGTTAAATTCGATTTCTGAGTTGAGTTGATAGGAAAAAGTTCAAGTAATATTAACGAAAGTAAAGATATATCCATGTCCTCTGGGTCTTTGGTATTTAATAGAATGAATTGTTCCTTAAAAAGTTTTTTTCTCGTTTTTAAGTTAGTAATTTTATTCTGCACACCTGGGTCTTTAATGTATTTTTTAAAAGTACAACCCTTGCTGTCAAGCTCAGCCTCAATCATTTTTCTAAGAGTATCTGATCCACAATCCAAATTTAGTGAAATTGCTTTTTGATACTTATCTGATTTTTGCAAGTCAGTTAAACCCGAACTGCTACCCATTTTGCTTGAATTTAGATAAATTTAATTCTTCAAAATTGACATTATTTTTAAAAAAAAATATTTCACAAAAATGGTGTTTTTTAGCTGCTAAACATATTGTAAAACTAATCCATTGCTCATCCTCAGAGATATAGATTTCAACAAATAAGACAAGCTGTCGGCAATGTTGTCATTAATATTCTCCTTTACCATTGATTTCATCTGACTGCACTGTTAACTGTTTGTGTCATGTAGTAATTCAATTGTGTTTTACTGCTTTATTTGTTCTGTTGTTGTTGCTTTTCGACACTTAATGAAAAATAGACTCACAGGGATGAACATGTCTACCGGAAACGTTATCTGAAATAAAATTATGAAAAAATATTCGTATGAATGATTATTTTTTTGCCCACAAGTATCAATAATTGTTACTGTGTTACTGAAGGCTTTGAATCATGTTTCCTAAGTAGTATACATGTTCTTACCAATGAAACAGCATTTAGAAAGTAACTGTCCATATAAGTAACTTAATGATAAATAACCACAACAATAAAATTAATGTTAATTAACGTTTTAAATTTTAGCTTGGATATTTCAACCTTTCAAGAATTACTTTTTTCCAATCCTATTCTTCTATTACTTTTTATTATTTATAAATACTTCACAATAAGCTACAAAAAATCGACATGTCTGGGTCGCCCATCACCTCGACACACTTTTCGGGCTGCAATGAACTTCAATGAATCGCAGGTGTACTACAACTTCCATTTGTCTGAAGATGATATGTAAATGAACATATTAAATATGTATGATGCACATATAATCAAGCCACACGAAAAATATGTCGAGGTGATGGGCGAGGCAAGACATGTCGATTTTTTGTAGCTTATTGTGAAGTTCCAGTACATGAAAAACGGGCACATTACAAATCAGCACAGAAATAAAACATTGTTTCCAGGATATTTGGATCAAAACTGCAGCCACTAGAGTGTTAACATTAAACAAGCTATTTCTATTTTTGTTGTTTATGTTTTTGATATGTGTGAACATATTTGTGAATTTCATTATCTTGTTTAATTGAAGGCCATATTGTAAATAAGATATGTTTTTTTTTAATATGTAACCTTCATGAAATAAAGTGTTGTTTTTTTTTATTATTATTATTATTATTATTATTATTAGACCTCTACTATATTATTATTATTATTATTATTATTATTATTATTATAGCTCCTGGACTGCGACCTAGTTTTTGACCCGAGATGACCCATATTCACAGTATATAAACGATTTGAACCCCAACCGGATCTTGTGAGAAGATTTTAGTGTCAGCCATATTCTGCCACTTCACTTGTTTACGATATTGGTATTTATATTGATACTGATGGACGTTTGGTTAATAAATCTATATTTATATTATAAGAGAGAAACTTTATTAAACGTCTAAGTTATGCAAAACATAAACGTTAGCACGAAGGCTATAAAATAATCGAAACTCACGAACAGCTTTCATGTGATCAACACTGAACACGAACAAAAATCCGTCTTATTCCAATGTTGATTTAGTTAAACATTGAATTTTGATATCGGACTACTAAATTAATCAATAACAAACGATAATTTAGTCATATGCATAACATATTGCTGTATCTTGAACATAAATTTAAGAGTTTTACCAAGGAGGTCATTTCCGTAAACTGAACGTTACTTGCTGGTGATTGTGAACCCTACTTGTGAGTTTACGAATTTTATCTGTACCCTGACTTGTGAGTATTTTTAAAGATTTATTGGAGAAAAAGTTTACGTTCATTGCGATTTTGTATCAATTATTGCCAGAAAATATAAATGATTATAATAGAATTTTAGTATATAAGGTGGGATATAAGGTATTTACCGAGAATTGGTTTAACTGATAATATTGTTAATCATTTGTTTAAGAAAATATATAATGCTATGTATATTTTTCTTTCGCATCACCATGCAAGAATACAACTGCATATACTGTTCAGTAAAGACTACGAATTTCAATGACATCATTGACCTCTAATTATTCGCCATCCAGACTGCAACTTGAAAATAAGAAGAATAAAATTTTCTACTTAAAAAATTTCAGCGTCACAGCCAATAACGTAAACGAAAAAAAAAGAAGTTTATAACACCAATAGCTGAAACACTGACAATTAAAATTTCAAAATTTCCCGAATATTCTCCGTTTAAAAAGATGCCAAAATTGTCGACGTCTATGAAAGATATACAAGAATAAAAGTCGTACATGTCAGAAAAAGAAAGTCAATTAATTTCTGAGAATATAAAACAGTGTTTAAAAAAGCAGAATGAAATCAACGGTAGGTGAAAAGCTTTCAACATGTTGAAATAAGTAATCTGCAAAAAAATCTTGTAATGATATTTCGAGTTTTTTTATACGTGACGTTATATAACGGTCACGTCAAAACTAACAACAATGTCGTTAGTTAATTATTCCTTTCAAGAAACAATTGTCTTTCTGATTCGTATAAACAGCCACTTCATGCCGGTATTTTCAAGACAGTGAAAACATGACGAAGCACCTTCATTCATATGCAGTTTTAGTTACTTACATAGAACTAAAACATGTACCCTTCTCTTGTGACACAATAACTTCATATTCTGCACATCAAAATTAAGAACATACGACAAAAACACAATAAAATCATCAAAAGTGACTCGCAAGTAATGGTTCAGTGAAAACACAAGTAGGGTACAGATCATTAAAATTGTTTTAGCAAGACGGGTACAGTTATCAGAAATGTCGCCACTATTATTTACTATGTTTTATCAATATTCAAAGATATTTTCACAAGTGTCTGTCCGGTAACATGAGGTTAAGACAATAAAGTTAAGATTCAGATATGAGTTATAGTAAAATAAAACAATTTTAGGCATACATTTGCTTGTGTAATCGGCGTGTGTTGACATAAACAAAATATGAGGCGAAGAGCACAGCGTTTTATGCGCATATATTTTACGAAGAAGGTTATGGATGTATATTTAAGCAAAGATAAATTATCTCTTAATATGAATCAAATGTTAACATACCGTAACATATTAAATTCAAGCCGATTTTTAATAGTTTAATGTGTCATTACGCCTGATTGTACGTTTAGATGCTGAATTCTTCTCACAAGATCCGGTTGGGGTTCAAATCGTTTATATACTGTGGAGTTAACAACCCAATTGTGTACGACGCACGACGACGGACATAGCCTATAAGCCCCGTCACTACTACCCCATTGTATCGTGCCATGTAAATATTATGACAAAAGGATCAAAATAAATTATACAAAATAAAGATTCAGGGATATTTAATTTTTTTAACTGCAGTTGTGATTTATAGGTAAATAGATCGATACAACGGGGTTCCAGGCTATACACCTCAGCTTGATCACTTCAAGCTACGCCCCCTGATCTCCGATTAATTATAATTTTATTTTTTCGGAAAATACAAGACCCTGCTTTTGATTTAAATATGGGTTCTGATAAATTCTATCACCATGCTTAAAGATGCATATGTTTATGTATCATACAGTATTATTATAAGATCCAAACTGTAGATCTAGTCTACTGTACAGTACTGTTGACCTATTTTTAAAATGCTTAAAAATTTAGTTTAACCGACCACTAAATTGTTATTTTTAATACCTAATGTAATTCTATAGATTAACTAGAATACGATGAGATTACTTACAAAATATGAAACCTATCCGTTTCCATTTTGTAGTGGTCATGAGTGATACTCACAAAAAAAAGTTAAATTCAGTCAAAACACTCTGACCCAAAATTCCAATATGACGTCATTACTGTGTACTACAGTACAGTACAGTTCGCGAGCTACAAGCTGTTTCTGCAAAGCTGTTGTTTGCAGAATTTCATTTTTCAGGATTCTAATTATTAATTAATTTGTGTTTTGAAAAATAATACCAGATATATCAGGTTTCTTCACTTAATCATCTAATCGGATGTATTCCGTGAATGTTCGTTCGCTCAGTGAACTGCACTGTAGCTATATATACATGTGTGTTGGTTTTCCGAAAATAGTCTGGTCCGCATATTTTACAGGCGTGTACATGTAGTGGGGCCCAGATAAAGTTTACATTTGTCTATCTCAGGACATGCACTACAGATAAACTTTAGATCTAATTAAATATATACTGTCTGAGTTAATACTGTGCTCAAATTTGATTTTAAATATAGAATCTAGCTAGTTCTAAACTATTGATAGTTCTAATTGTTGCTCCATTCGTGTATTTGTGAATATAAAATAAACATGTTAATTTTGACCTCACACAATGACAAAGGAGATATAAATTGTTATATTTATAAAATTCTGTCACAATATGACACAAAATATAATTATAGACTACTGAAGTAACTCGTTAGTGTCATTAAAAGAAAACCTGCAGGATTTTTGGTAATGTTGTTGATGTTGTTTTTTGGGGGAGGGTTGGGGGTATTTTTTTATAAAATTGAAGTTTGCTATAATCTGGTAAAACATATTTTTATATTTTTTACATGAAACCTCAGTTACGGTGTAAAGGGGCTCAAACATGTCTAGCCATAGCTCATAACAATTAATAAAGTTGCATAATTATACAGTGATGAGCACATTTATATGACTTTTTAATTTATTCTATGGTGTAAAAATGTTTGTTGTTATAAAAATTTAAAAAAGGAAACATCATGCTTACAACAATGTACAATCATGTTAAATATTACCAAGTGTCTTTTTTATGTACAACACTGAAATGTACGTTACCAATGAGAGTTTACAACTGTACAGTATATAATTTATCAAGCCTTTAGAAAGTCTTTAAATAATGCTAAAGATTGATATTTTAACATTCAAGTATGTTGTCATAAAGGGTTTAATACGCACATACAATGTTGTTTATGTATCATAAATAACTAATAACATTCTAGTGAAGAACTCCGAAGTATACATTTAAATAGTAAAATATGTATCAGTCATCTGTAAAATTTGGTATTGTTTTATCATTCCAAACACCTGAATATATTAATTGGTATGGTTTAACAAAAAATGTGTTCATTCCGTCCTACATCTTTTGAAAATAGTACAGTAAAAACAAAATTACTGACTAGTTCAACAATTACATGACACTCAAAATAACGTACATTTCTCTGCCTGTTTTTGTGACAATGACCTGCTCAACTTGATGAGAGATCTTGTTTGCAAGAATTCAAATTTATGTCCGGGAGATATTCTTTTTCCATATTCAAACATCATTTTTATGATTTCTCAACATTATTTTTTTCACTTTCCGTGATTCAATATTTGTAAATGGTATTGAGAATGCGTGTTTAACATCATTATTATATTGTTAAGTTTCATCGGAAGTAATTGCAATCACAGGTGGCAGTATCAGTGTTTGGACACCCCACCACACGCTGCCCCTGAACCCTGCTACTACCCTGAAAAAAATCACTACTAAGGTTTACTATAAGATACTAAATACAAAACCACTGATAATTTTTTTTTAAAAATCCACTATTAAAGTTATAGAAATATATATGCTCAATTGCTAAACAATGTGGAACACGGGAAATTGTCGTTTCGGCGACTGAGCCGCATTCCGGCATTGTTTGGCAAATGAACATTTAGTAGACTTTCCATCTAAACGTATAATTTTGATAGTGAAAAATTTGAATAGCAAACAGTTGGCATTTGGCTTTTAAACTTCCTCTCCAAAATGTTCATATATAACAAATCATGGAACAATAGTCATTTTGAATAGACATATTTAACGTATTACAGTATATTTCTATGGAGGCTATTCGTTGCCAAAAATTCAGCATTGTTGATCTGAGTTGAACAGTTTGTTAATGGAAAAAATACAATTGTATTTCTTTGTATGTAAACTCCAATGTTGCATACTTGCATTGAGTTTGCCGATTTAACATTGAAAACATGCATTTCAACAAAATACATTTTGTTAAACGACAAAACATTTACTGATAGTAGCAATACCAAGTGTTCGAATACTCAAAACATAAGTTACATTCTTAGCTTTACATTGTCGAACCATCATGATTCAGATCAGCATAATCCAGCTTTACACGTTTTTCAAAAGGAGATCAAATAAGCTCCGCCCATTTTCCCGCCCACTAAATCATCGTAAATAAACGTATTTTCCGCTCATTTTCGGTATTTACCGTCGGCGACAAGAACTGGCGTAGTTTCCGTAGGTGTTTAGTTACTAAACATTATTCACTTGCATGATTGCCTACAATCAACATCAGCGGACCTTAAAGGAATATAGGCATATACGAGTAAGTTTTAAAACGTTGTAGACACCACATTTCCTGGAAAAATTAAGAAACTTAAAAAAAAACCCAAAAAACACCAGGTTACATACTGTCTGAGGTTAAATATTTTTCAAGGAAGTGAAAACTATTGAAAAGACTATATTCAACGACAAATAAATTTTACTGATGGTATTCCAATTTGCATAGGAATGAGCAACATTTACAGTTAAGCTGCTACCTTACCACTTTCAAAATTTCAAGTCAACATCTGATAAAGATTTTGATAGGAGTAATTACTAATACAGACCAAATTCTGGCTGTTGTCTTTCCTAGTAGTACTATTATATTAGTAACCTTAATTCTAGCGTATGACTTGACAAGAAAAAAAACTTTTAACAATAGTAAAATTATAACCAAAGTTGTATGTACCCTTTCGTACATAACTTTTTACTTTTACCATATATTTTCCCATTTTCCCCATTTTGTTTTTCAGTAAAATTTAAATGAGTCCAAATGTATGTATGTTGATTATCAATTTATGTATACCTTGTTTATTTTATATCTTAGAAAGCCATCACTTACAAAACTTAATAAATATTCTGTGTAGTATTTCATATACATAAAAGTAGTTCTCTGTTTTTGATCATATAGACAGCAAATCTAGACAGCAAATCTAGGTAACAGCTAATGACAGCATGTATACACATATTTTAGAGGTGCTATTGATTCAGCACAATGCATAAAAAGACCTTAACCTACGCCAGCTTACATATATTTAACAATAAAAGGCTAAATCACATCCTATGACTCAAAATACCTCCCAATGGAGGTAAACAGAGTTGCCAGGATACACTGAATATTTATTTCAACATTAAAATGGGACAAATTCATAAGTTTTGGTTATACAACGGAATGATCGATAGTAAACTTTGCATTGTTTCGTGGTTATACACTTGGTCAAAAATATGAGTTTTTCTACAACCCAACATAGTCCTTTAAAGAAAGAAGGCACAGACTTATTGTTCAGTTCTCTTTATTCGTGTTGCCAAAAGTGCCTTCCATGTATCGCATTCTAGTACTATTTGCTGAAGGTAAAAAAAAAAAGATATGCGTAAGAGTTTTGCCGTGGCTCACAAAACCCTAACATTGTTATCAATGGATAGTGGTTGTGTGTCATTATATATGGGAAACATTTCCTTATGTTATTTCACCAACTTAAGTTTTTGCATATTATTATGCTCATTATCAATATATACGTTGTTACATTTTTACATTATATCTTAACCAATTTTGCATTACTTGAATATCCTGTACTAGAATACGTTTTAACAAAATCAGAGGATGTTCAAAGTCAAGATTGATGTAACAGGTTCTATATAATTTGAAATATTTTTGTACCAGCAAGAGTTACCTCTCTTTATATTCTGTTTTCATGAAATTGGCTCCGTCTATTAATTTTCGTCTATTTCCGTGATAATTCCATACATGGAAGTTGCAAAATAGTTTACAAATGTTAATCGCGTTAGAATGTAAAAGGAAAGTGTGGTGTTGTAAACCTGAGTGTGTCAAGTTGATGCAGATACATTCTCAACGTCATGATGCACAGCATTAAACGTATTGTGTACGTTCTATCGTTTACATTTCTACATGTTGCAAATTTAAAATTATACATTTATAAATACAGTTTGCAATTTATCTAAGTTGCATGTTAAAAGCTTTTATTTTATCAAATCGAGATAATCAAAATGCTTAATACCAGTGCAGTATGTAACTCTCGGATCGACAATTAGATTTTTACTAATCTGTTTAGTAGAACCGAAGTATGCATTGTCAAGTTTCAAAGGCTGGATTTTTGGCAACGAATAGCCTCTATATATATATTTCAGTCATTTCACTACGTATGTTAACTCACTTTGATTGACAACTTTTAATCTGCTTTATCCAGCAGTAACTGCTAAAATCAAAATGAATAAACACGGTCATACCTTCATTTTTGTTGAGGATGTCCCACCGACACTATCATGATCTAATTGCGACTTTCCGCTGAGTAGATAGAAAGCTAGCTTGATGTTTCCTCACATTAACTAGAGCTATCACTAAATGTGATTAATACCCCGCAAGACTGCTTCGGAAATGAGGGAGTTACTAGTAACAGAATACCTTGTAAAAGAATTGAAATAGAGTGATGGTTGTGGGCAATTAAAGATAGTTGTTGTTCTTGTAGGTTGCATTTCCTTCCACTGTGGTTTACCATTGATTAAATTTTATTGAATTACTCTGTCATAAGTGCAGATAGAGTTACGGTTCTTACGCACTGCACTTCCTCTAATTGTGCTTGAACTCTGCAAATACTGAAGATGGAGTTATGGTTATTATATACACTGCACTTTCTATCATTGCAATTGACCATTGTATGAAGTTGCATTGAATTCCAACCATTAGTTAACAAGTTATGCACTAGACAAAAAAGTAACAAAGGGCAAGAACTATGTAATTAGTACAAATAGAGTTAATGTTTTTGAGCAATGCACATCATTTCACTGTGCTTGACCATT